TTGTTTAAGATACTATTTAATTGTAGTTGTGTGAAAGAAGAAGTGAAATATAAAAATGTTTCATGAATACGTTTATAACCTTAAATATATTTACTGTAGTTTAATAACTCTAAATCTAATATTATATTTAAATAATTAGGTATCTATCATCCGTTTATTCCTAAAAATCATCATGTAACCTTTTAGAAAATTAAATTAGTGAATAATTACACAACAAGTATTACAAGAGTTACAACTTTTGACATATCTAAGACAGGCAATATAAGTATCGTAATTCCATTTTAATATACTTTGCCATGTAAAATAATAGTTTAATAACAAATAGTCGTACAATCCGTAATCAACCATTGATGTAATAAATAGAATTATTGTTATTTTAATGGTCTTAATGATTTGTTAGCTGTAAGCTTTAAGCTGTACCCCGGTTAAAAATATTGTAATATTAAATAGCAAAAATATTATAATAGCACGAAATTATCAGATAATAATTTCTAGTCAAAGTTGAGCAGTAAGTGAAAGTTGTTTGTTGCGCGCTCCAGATTTTCTATTTTATGTTTCTCCCCAAATCGCTAAGGAAAATAAAGTGACACATATTTGCTTTGATCGACATATCCAAATATGTGCCCACATACCTGATGTATAACTATTTGGGAATGATAAATTATTGTGTAATAATTTGCAGTGGTATTTCATTTGTTTTTTTCCGATGGAATAATAGGAGCAAACTTTTTACACAACCATTTGAATCTATGACGAAGGTATTAAAACGTTTTATGGATAAAGAATCTATAGTACTATTAGTGCAATTATATTAGGGATCGAACCTACCATTTAAAAAAAAAAAAAAAATATATATATATATATATATATATATGAAACTTATTAGAAGTTGTTTGTTATCCTCTCCATAATAGCTGATATAAAGTCTCAAAGATTCTCGTATCGGATATTCAGGGGATTTATAACAGGAAACTGACATATTTTTGAAAATATTAAAATTATTAAAATCTCCATAAAAACAGTTCTGAGGATTTTTTTATTTTTTGAATAAAATCGATGTTATATATTATAGAAATTATATTTATAGAATTTCTACTTTAAGCAAAAATTTACTTAAACCACGAACTTGCTATTCTTAATTGTAGATTACACCATTTCAAAGTAGAATATTTTTTTTTTAATTTTTAATCGTTTTCATTATAATTACTAGATTATTTGTTTGGATGATTCTAATAAGTCATGCAGAACAGAATAGTATTCTACGTGTTGTCTCAGTTCTTAATGACAAAACTCTGAGGGATGATTTTAGACAAAATTTCAAACAAAAAAGTTCATTTGATGCATGGGCCGATCATCGGCACTAGCGGGTCCAGGATTTAATTTTGGGGGGGGCTTCAGCCCGAAAGCTTTTTTTTTCATAAAAATGACGATATTTACTTTGGAAAAAAAGAAATACATTAACTATCTATATGAAATGGTGTTTAAGTGATTCCTTAAGTCCTTTTTAATGTAATTACACGAACAATAATACTTTAAGAGATAATTTTTTAATATTGATTTCAATAAAATATGGTTTTATTTTATCATTTTGGGGGGAGGGGCTTCAGCCCGAAAGCCCTCCCCCGTGTTTGGGCCGATGCCGAACGGAAAAGGAGTTAAGACCAATTTTGTGTTTTTCTTAAGGTGGTCACTTTTTTTGTTGAATAAGCAGGAATTTCTCAAAAACTGTTAAAGATAATTGAATTCTAAGTACACCATCGCAAGGAAACAATTTTTGTTTTTAGAAATCAGTGATTAAATTGCCTAAGTTCAATGATAAAAGAGACTTTCAGGAGGTCTAATAAGACCGCTGTACAGCTTCAATTACAGTAACTATACACGAACAGCATATCTCTGAACAGCCTCCTGAAAGTTCCTTTTACCATTGTTTTTACCGTTGTTTAAAAAAAAAAAGTTATCTACATGAGGATGACAAAGACAAAATGGATTTGACAAAGAAAAATCTTTTTGTACTTGAAGGAAATTGTATCTAGTTTACTATGAAGCAATTTTAAATTATCTCATTTAAATATTTTTGGTGCTATCGTTTCTTATAAAAGAGAAAACATGACCACTTTAAGAAAAGTCAAAATAGGATTTTTGGAAATTCGGTCTAGAATCACATCCCAATGTTTGACCATGAAGAACTGAGGCATCCTCTATATCTCAGACGGATCTCGGAATGGAGGAAGAATTTCGGGCTGAGCTCCTCCCTAAATGGTAAAAAATAACCATGTCTTATAAAATAAATTATCTCTAAAAGTATTTTTGTTCGTGTTATTACTAGTGTTGCCCAAAATCGGTCTTGGTCTTGCACTTTGCGAGACCAAGACCAAGGCCGCTTAACTGTTGCAAGACCAAGACCAGGACTAGTAAAAATAATCAATTTTTTGAATAAAAATTAATTCAAAAAAATTACTAATACTTGACAATCTTAGTTACTGTATGTTAATAATTGATAAAACTGATATACTTTTGCATTCAACTCATCTAATTTTTCATTCGGCCTTAGTTAGGTTTCTCCTATCTAAAAAAAATACAGGAATATCTCTATAGTAATAAGCTAATAAGTAACTGCAAGACTGTTGAGAGAGTCTTGCGCAAGACCAAGACCATGACCAAGACTGAGTTTGCAAGACCAAGACTCGTCACGGTCTCGCATTTGGGCAACACTAGTAATTACATTTAGTAGGACTTCAAGAATTACTTTAAAAACATTTCATACAGGTTTTTAGTTCTCTTTCAAAGTGATAATCGTTTTATATTTATAAAACTTTCGGACTAAAGCCCTCCAAAATTAGATTCTGGATCCGATACTGTTCTGTATCAATTAATTAGAAATTTTGTGATAATGATATGTTTAGATTGATATTGATTTCATATTATTGATAATAATTGACAGTAGATCTTAAGAGCTAAAAACAAATTACTGTGAACCATGGTCTGTCTTCACACACTAAACTCAGTAAATTTAAGTTTTGTACTTTTTAAGTCAGGTTCGTGTTTTGTTGATTGGAAAACGATAATGAGGAAAATATTTAATTTTTATTATTAACAATTCTTCATAGTAAAATAAACAAAATTTTCTCCAAACGGAAATAATGATTGTTTTTATTAAAGTCACTTAAAGGGGCCTGTTAATTAGTTAAACCAGTGCTGTTTTTCATAAAATCATGGAATATCACCAATTTTGGTTTATTATTTTCAATAATGAACCATTGTGATCTAACAAAAAAATTAAAAACTAAACCCGCTCTCAAAATTTGAGGTTTCACGTTTCAGGATATGTAGAATTAAAAAAACGAATAAAATTTTTTTTGTCCGTCCGCCGTTCGCGCATTTTCTCCGAAACTGCTGGACCTATTTTTTTTTCAAATTTGGATATAAAATCAGAGGTCACCCGAGGATCATCCTCCTTCCTCGACATTACTACCCGCCTTTTACTTTCAAAATGGCGGCCGAACAACCTGTGTTGCTATAGGCGGTAGCGTTTAAACGAATGTACCAGTTTCAATGAAACTTCGCTAAAGTCATTTTCTCGACTCCCTTTAAATTTATCTATATAACATACTTCAACGAAAAGAAGCTGGAAATAAAGTTGCGAGGGATGGTAAAATTAAATTCCGAATAACTCAAAAAGGTTACAGCTTTTTGTTGATATTGTATACGTTTTTTTAAAAGTTTACGAAATTCCCTAAAAAAAAAAAAAAAAAAATCGTGAAAATCAGACGATTAGGAGCAAAGATATATATATATATATATATATATATATATATATATTTTTTTTTTTTTTTTTTTTTTTTTAAATATATTTTCTACTGCAGATGTTGTTTTTTATATCCTTTGTTTTGGTTTTTAAATTTTGAGTGTGTTACTGAAGTAATGCTATTTTTTTTTTTTTAGCATGTTACTAATGATTAAAAAAAAAGTTTAGTCTAATAATTGGAATCACCTTTTATTTATTTTTCTTTTTAACTAGGAAGGTAATGTTATTTTAGATGTATAATTGTTAGGAAATAATAAACCATTATGAAACAATTTGCAGCGTTTTTTTTTATAATCCTCCTACTAGAAAACAGTTACCCCATTTATAGAAAAACTTGTTTGTTTAATGAGCTTTAAATTCACAGGACCAGTTATTGTGGGGAGAGTAATGAACAATTTCTGACTAGTTTCAGAAGCTTTTTTTTATACGTTTGGGTTTAGTGTGATTTTCCCTAGTTTTAAATAGAAATAGAAAATAACTTTATTCTGGGACAAAGTCCCTTTAGAATAACAAAATAGAACATAATTAAAAGACTACATCTGGCCAAAATAAAACTAAAACGTATTTTACAGTGCTAAATGTGCCCATTTTGCAGCCAAACCTCAATTTTAACTCTCCTCATATATGCACTCCTGTCTGTTGAAAAAATTACAATTACTGTATTTCAGATCAACAGAATTAATATAATAATGACATCAGCGAAAATTAAAAAAGTGTTACAAAAATAATTTTAAAAAAGTGATCAAATAATTTGTTGCACTCACTAGCGCAATCGAGGTAAAAGTATGAGATAGGTACCTGATGTTTATATAATTTATACTATCTACTATTTTATATTATATATTATTTCAATGAAGAAACAGTTTAAGTATTTTTTTAATCAAGAGACTTATTAACAAGAGTCCTTGTTTATAGAATAGTTTGCTAATTGGATGTATTTTTGTTTATCATCTATTCAAAAAGCAGATAAGTGAATATTGATACATAGACTTGATTATTATGTTAAAATGAATCATTGTGTTGAATGGTTTTTTTTTTAAATCGGTTAATGTACTTCCTCTACCAGAAGTTGTTGGAAAAATAGAATCGTGGTTATTTATTCTTAGATAGAATTAGGAATTACAAAGAAACAAATATTGATATTATGTAGAACAAACGACAAACTATTCAAACCATAGTGATGTCTTAGACTCACTTGAAATTCGAGCCCGTGTTTTTCTCTGCAAAAATCTTTCAATTTGGGATAGCATTGGGCCATCAGCGTGTTTCTCTCCATTGTTGTATCTATTCATAAAAATAAAATAAACTATTAATGTAATAAATATTATAAATCATTGTTAAATGTAAATTAAAAATAATTACCTGTGAACGTAGAACTTGTAAATATCCTGACAATTTTTGAACTGACAGGAGGTAGGCTCTCCAAGGAGCCGGAAAATATCAAATCTACTGTTCTGTCGTCCATCTTGTTCTTTACAAAAAAAAAAAAACTAAATGGAAAAAAATGAAACTAAGTCTTGATATATATTTACTTTAAATAATATTTATTAAATTACAATTAAGAGAAACGGTTAAGTTATAAATGTACTGTTAAGTATTAATATATTTAATATTTGACTTTTTGAGGACTTCACAGACCAGAATTTGCCTACTGAAAGAGAAAATATCTTTGCAATGGGAAACGCCTCCCTCAACACATGACCACGCCCCCACCAATAGAAGCCCGTCTAGTCTAAATGCGTCAAATAGAGGCACACTATGACAATCTGCTTTTTAAGTTATTTATTTTAACAATATATTAGCATGAAGATTTTGATTTATTTCTGACATATACATATTTTCTAAGTATAATTAACTCATGCAGTCAATTCTATTTTAAATGATAGGACGTGTGCAACACAAAATTAACTCCAATCCAACAACATTTACGGCTATTTAAATTTTATGCCGCTAGCAGAAATTCTCAACACCTTTGACTTGTTAAATGGAACAATATGATATTAAAATATTCCACATAAAGCATCCTGAGGAATAAAGATCAAAGCTAAAAAAGTGTTAAAACTTTGCATTAATCATTATTTTTACTTAAAAATTTGGTCTGCATTAAATTTTTGCTGATATAAAGTACTCCTCCCCTCCCTCAAATCCCTTACTTAGAACCTGGGGCTAAACAAGAAAGGACCCGTTTTCATTTGATATTTTCGTCCGTGGTACAGACTATTTTTATCAAATCATTAACATCCGCCTGAAACTTCGGTTAATAGCTTGATCTCATTGTAACCTACAAATATTTTCATTACGAAAACTTGGATTGGTGTTTTCAATCTGGAAATCGGCAAACTTTGTATATTTAAATAGATACTAAAAACTCGTAAAGACCCATTTACTTTTCACTTGGATCGTAAAATAATTTGAGCACGAATTCGAGGAAAAAGGTTGCCTTCAAAAATATTGGCCGTTTGGCATGACCTACTTCCCCAACATGTCAAAATAACGATGTTATATATTTTTGTAAGCCACCTTTTTCCTCGATTTTGCGATCAAATTATCTTTCGATCCAAGTGGAAAGCAAAGGGGATTTACAAGTTTTTAGTACCTAATTAAATAGACAGTTTGCCGATCTCCAGATTGAAAACGCCCAATTCCAAGAGTTTTCGTAAATAAAATAGTTGTAGGTTAGATGAGATTAAGCTATTAACGAAGCTTCAGGCGGATGTTAATGATTTGATAAAAAAGGGGTCTGTACCACGGACTATATAGTGTGTTGAATCGACGGTAAATATTGAATATGATACAGCTAGTGATATTGTAAAAAAACTTTATTTATGAATACAAACAATTGGTTTGAAGAGATCTTGAATATAGTAATCAAGGCATTCTAACATTTATTTGTTATTTTAATTTGGCTTTTTATGGTTGTAACGATGTCTTTAGAGATTTCTTATCTTCATTTTCTTACTCCTATTTTTTTAATATAAATGATTTTGTCATGTAAATAAAAACTGCCCACGGCCATCTGTAGTAGAGGCAAAAACAAACAAATTAAAAAAAAAAACATTTCTAAAAACACTTCTATCATCCTCGGTTTAAATTATGTATGAGTCTACAAAATTATAATGACTTTTATATAAGGTTTTAACTGAAAATACTTGTGTATTATATTATCAATATTAACATTTGATATGATCTTAGTGAAACCATAATATCAATAGTTAATATTCTTTGTTTTTTCCTTTCTTTTATTGTTTTAATCAAGCAAGACGATGATTTTAAAAAATGTATGCCACTTTTATTTTCAAATGAGAAATCATTCTAAAGTAATTTCAATTAATGCCAACAGAAATATTTCTTTAAATACAAATACATCCTAAGATTTAGAATTGGACTATTGGATTCTAAAGTAGGTTTTAGTATTAAGTATATTTATGCTATTACTGAAATAACTCTGAATATCTTTTCGTTGGTTCTTGAGAATCGATTTAAAATTCTCCAACTCCAACTGTAACTATTTAAACATATATTATATACGTAAAACATAGATGATATATTAGAAATATTATATTTCATTACTCTTTAAAATAATTTACATTATTTATTTATTTATTGTTCGGAACGCTTATGCTCCGAAGGATCATTAGAATTCCATATATACTTTGTGGTAAAAGTTAGAACCGACAGTACTATAACAATAATATATTCTTATACTCGATAGTGAAACTTGATTCTTTTTTTAGAATTCCATTAGAAATTTTACGCAAGTTTCCGAATCTTTTAGCATCCCTCGTATTGTCGAAAAACTGTTTGATTTACATTTTTAATTGTATGAAAATTCCGGTATCCATTTAATTGAATTTGGTGGTTAAGTTCATAAAAAAAAAAAAATCTGGTTTTTAGGTCAACTATAGACACCTAAATGACGCAGTTCATTCCACTGTAATTTTCTTGGAGATAGATTTTTTATTACTTTAAGTATTGGCTGTACTTTTGATTAAAGATTGCATTTCAATTACAATTTCATCTTGGAATACTTTTGCTCGAAACTTACCAGTGAATGCACAGCTTAAAACCACATATCACATGCGTAAATAACAAATTTGTATCGATGCGTTTTATTACTTTAAAAAGTAAAGTAACATTAAAAAAATATCTCTGTGGGTAAGGAATACAATGTTTGATTATAATCAAGAGATGAAGAATCTATATTATGATGTGTATATAAGGATTATGAAACGCAGTAAAACAGTCCAAGTTCGTTAAAAGACAAAACATTATGTTTTTATTACTGTGACAGTCTTAGTCCGTGGTACAGACTCCTTTTTATCAAATTATTAACATCCACCTGAAACTTCGTAAATAGCTTCATCGTAATATAATTTGAGCATAAACTCGAGAAAAAGAGTTGCTTTCAAAAATATTGAGACGTTTGGCGTGGCCAACACCCCAAAATGTAAAAATATAGAGTTTGTATAGGCCAAATGCCCCAATATTTTTTTAGGCCACCTTTTTTTCTCGATTTTGTGATAAAATTATCTTAATATCAAATTGCAAACAAATGGGTGTATACCAGCTTTAAAGATCTAATTAAATAGACAAAGTTTGCCGACCTCCAGATTGAAAATGCCCCAATCCCGAATGTATTCGTAAATAAAGAAGTTGTAAGTTATGATCTTTTTTTTGGATTCTGCCGAATCACTGTTATGCACTCATAAGGCCCATAAAACATACATGCCATATGGATATATGTAAGAGTAACATGTATGTATATATGTAAGAAGATAAAGTTCACTTTGTTCATTCCAGAAATATATTTCGATTTCCTCTTCCTTGATCGGATGTGAAATTATTGTGAATGTCGCTTACTATGAGCAAAATCGATTATCAATATTTATAATTTTTAAAATAATAAGTGTATTTTTTTTACAACAATAATTTTGTTTATTTAGAAATAATTAAAAACGTAAAACAATTTACTAGAATTAAAGTTTTTCACCGGATAATTTTCTAGGATATGATTTGTTTTTTGTATATAATAGTTTTTAAAGAGAGGTATTTGAGCGTGCTCAATGAAAATTTAAGATATATTTGGATTTTTCGACAAAGTAAGTAAAATTTTATCTCAATTATTTTTAATTTAATAAGAAATATATCTGTACTCATGGAAAATTTATTACATCATATGTTAGCTAAAACGTGATTTTTTTTAAATGTAGGTCATTTTTTATTTTTTTTTTATTGACAGGTGCGGATAAATATATGAAAGTACAAAAAAAAAGGTCATTTTTTAGTTTAAACAATTGTTAGTTGACCGAATATGTATGTATTCAAATAATGTTTTAAAAAGTTGGTTTCCATAACTTAGGTTGATTTACTTCTATTAAATTATACTTATGTGTTGTTAAAAATCAGATTAACCCAAAACTTTTGATGAAAATGTTTTCACTTTTGTGATTTTTTCACCGCCTCCCTCCCCAAAGATCTTGGATCGTATCTCCCTCTCAAATGTTATTGCTCTATTTTTAAAAATGGAACTTGTGAAAGTAGAAAAATAAAAATTTATGTAGATTTATAGTTAGTTCCAATTAATTACAATTGCTACGTTATAATTCATGTTTTCTCTGTTCCATGTTTTGGAAGTGTCATCAAATTCATTAGCAGATTGAGGATTTAGTTTTGGGTCTTTAGATTTTATTTAACAGTGGTAATTAAAGAAACAATATAGCTTTTAGAGATATTTTTCCGTGATACGTTCTCTCGTTTAGTAGCTCAAGTACATGCTTTTTTATTTAAAAAGATTATATATTGTATTTCGTTATGTATTTGATTGAGATCACTCGTAGTATTAAAAAATGACCAAACTAATAAAAAAGAAGTTTTACTTTATATATATTATTTCTTTTGGGGGGAGAGAGAGATGAAAGCCCATATCTCTTGAATTTGCTAGTGATCAAATGGTCCCTTCCAAAAATTTATAACCCAATAAAATATACGCCCAAAAATTTAAATGTTGCAACTTTCGCCATTCCCTTTCCTTTTGGGCGGTTGAGATTATTGTTGCCCAAAACCGGTGTTGGTCTTGCACTTTGGAAGACCAAGATCAGGAATGGTAAAAAAATCGATTTTTCAAATAAAAATTAAGACAAAATAGTTAATAATACTCGACAATTTTAGTTACTATATGTTAATAATTGGTATAACCAATATACTTTTGCATTTCATTTTTCATTTGGGCTTATTTAGGTTTCTTCTATCTAAAAAATTATTGTAATTATAAGCTAATAAGTAACTCCGAGATTCTTGCGCAATAACAAGATCGCGACCAAGACTGAGTTGCAAGACCAAGACTCGTCTCGGTCTCGCATTTGGTCAACACTAGTTGGGATGTTTTCTTACTTAAACGATGAGATACGTCATTTCTTGATAGTATCGTAATATTTAAATTATGAATATCACGAAGAAAATAGAGATACGTAGGTATATAAAAATATTGAATATTTAATAGTTGACCGTTGCATTATAAAGGAAGGAGATGGTCCGGGGTGGCGATCATAAATAAACTAAATAGTGGTAAAACTATTTTATTGAAAGCCGACGTTTCGACCCGACTTTGCAGGTCTTCTTCAGGTCTAGAACGGATAAGGTACAAAAAGATAGAAAATTGTGGCAGTTTCATAATATTTAGACAAAATTTATAAACAATGTGAATAAGCTTATTGAAATTATAAACAGTAAATACATTAAAATATGAACAAAGTAAACTAAGTAACAAGATACTAAACTGAAGAAAATAGATGCTAACAATTGTTGTAAATTGTTGTATATAAAAATAGAATAGAATCACGTTAAAAAGATATCGTTATAATTTAACTAAAGTTGAAGATAATCATTTATAATTAGATATAACTTTTAAGCTTAAAACTAATTAAAAAATCAATATATTTTATCCCTATTCTATCACTTTCATACTTTTAATGTAAGATTCCATTGTCAACTGATAAAAATGTAAAATTATGCTGAAAATACTTATTTAATATCGTATAATATCACAACTAATTTAAAAATAATAATAAATGGAAGAAAAAGGTTCATAATACCGAAATCCAGTTGAGAAGTGGCGTTCCCTTCTGGGGAGGAACCCCAACTGCACTGGGTCAGGTCCGTGAGTTCGGCGCAGCCAAACTCTGACTGCACGAAAGGCTCCTTCAAGGCCGCAATATTTCTCCTAGTTTTCTGAAATTTACTTTATATACAATCCAAATATATATATATATATATATATATATATATATATATATATATATATATAAATTATTATTATATATACATATATAAATTTAATTTTCTCTGTCTTAAATACTCAATTAATTTTCAGATTTCTATTTTGTATACTTAACGCTATAACAAGTTAACTGAATAATTGTTTTTGTTTTTTTAGAAGTTTCTTATTTAGGATATTTTATCAGTTTTCAAAAAATACATATGAATGTAAAATTAAGAAATTGTATTTTTAAATTAAATTAGGTTAAATTGGATGCTGTAAGCATGAAGAATGGAGAGTTTGCGTAATTGTTTGGTCCTGATAAATTTCTAATTGCTACTAATGTAATTGTATTATTTTTCTTATTATACTGTATAGATATATTATTATCATAGATACCGCTACTAGCCACTAATGTATCCAGGAATTATTTTTTGGGAAGGGGGCTTCAGCCCGAAAGCTTTTGTTTTCATGTATGTATATAATGATAATTAATTTGAAAAAAAAAGAAAGAAACTAACTTCCTATATGACATGGTGTTTAAGTGATTCTTGAAGTCCTATTATATGTAATTACACGAACACTAATCCTTTAAGAGATAGTTTTTAATGTTTTTTTCTATAAAATATGGTTATATTTTACGCTAAGCTTCAGCCCGAAGATCCGCCTGTGCTACTAGGTGAGGAAAGTATTGCAATCGGTCAAATATTTGAAATGCAGTTTTCTGTGTGTAACTGATACACAAAAAAATCTAAAAAAAATCTTTTTTAGCCAGTGGTCCGGTATTAGGCTGTATGCATCGATTATTACCGATATATATATATATACATATTTCTTTTATTTTTTTTAAATATTTTGATTCCCGATGCATGTTCACCAGTCAGTGCATAATAGTGGACTAGAAAAAAAAAATGTTTCTATATTCTGTAGCACGAAAATAGTTCTTGCGATTTTGATAAAGTTGCCTAAAGCCTTCGCATAAAGCCCTATAATGTTTTGTAAATAGTTCTTCCCAAAATGCAAAAGTTAAAAAGCAGGAAATAAATTATAAAACTGAAAAGTAAATTTATACTGAAAACAAAAAAATATATATAGTGATTATCACGGGCGCTTCCCACTTGTTAGAAATACAAAAAATATATACAAAATATATTAAAATAATTAGTTTTAGCCTATCAATAAAGCAACTGTATTATAGAAATATTGCATTAAATAAAATTCAAATAATCCATAATATAAAACTGCTAAATAAATAAATTTAATTATTTTAGGGAGAGGGAGATGACGTCATTGCCTGGGGGGCAGCGAATGTCTAGTGCTGGCACAATGTCAGATTATAATCAAAGAATATTATGTAGATAAATAAATTTTTATACTCCTATACCCACTCTCTTCACAATTTGGGTTTTGGCCTTTTTAATAAACGATATCTCAGCAGGTATTCCAGTCAATAATCTCTCAGCTCTACTATATAAACATACAATTTATAAAATCAAACCAAATAAAATTCAAACGAAATATTTTTCTCAGATATGAAGAAAAGACGGAAAGTTATTTATTGGATGGAAGTTTCGAATCTGGAAACACTATTCTGAGCTAGAAAGTATAAGATATTCAACAGTTCGAGCTTGGCACTGGTAGGTCATGATTTAGCCATGTATCCTCTGTCGTGAAGTAGCTCCATCCTCATCATTTTCATTTAACACTAATTATCTTTGCAAATATATATTAGAAAGAATCTGAATTTTTTTTTGTTATAACCTAATCTTTACCCAAGAATAACAAATTGAAAATTCGTTCCTTCATAAATCTGGAACTGCTGATAGCAATAAATTTCTTAAATAAATGGTAAGGAAGGTAAAAAGTATAAAGATGGTTGTGTTGCTACAAATTATGATGCAATTCGAGAATAAGAATACATTGAGTTGTTGGTTTATTTCGACTTCTATGTCTAATATTTTTCTGACCTCTTTGAACACACATGCTGTAGGGAAGAATTTATTTACTTTTTAAAACCTCCATGTTTGGAGACCGGGAAGGATTCGGTTTGTCTTGTTGAATTGTTGTCCTCAAGCAATTTTGAATTTGGATTTAACATTTCGATTCTCATTGCTTACATGCCTTAATATGGTTCTTTCGTTATCAGTCAACCGACATATTCGACTATATGTCTTGCTCAATTTTATTTACGCTAAGAAATGAGTTAATTCTCTTTGTTTGCCCACTGATTAGAACTTAATATGATTTGTAATTATTAAATAAATGCTTTACTGACCAAATCTTCTTTTGTCATCCATAAATTTTTGCGTTTTAATGTACTCATAATACTCAAAAATATGTCCTCACCAATTCCTGGAGGATCTATGGATCCTCAAACTCAGCTTAATACTTACCATTCTTATGTAACTATGCTAGGTGATAGAAATGCCAAAGATGAAAGTAAGTTGCAAGCAGCCCAAGAACTCACTGAAAATTTTGAGGTAAGAAATACATATAGGAGAAAAATATGGAGCTACTGCCCATAGTTTGTTAATTGTGTATAAGTTATGTTAACTGTCTGTGTTAATAACAATATCAAATAGGTTTGAATTGTTTACAATGTTCAACAAGAAACTAATCGAACTTACCACTTTTATTTTGAACTAAAATCCTCATACCAAAAACAAAATGGTTGGGCAAGGCTGAAAAAAAATATGTTCCATTGTGTTTTGCATCAATTTACTTATTTTTTTTTTTTATGATCTAAGTCATCAACTTTCAACTATAAATTTGTTGATTTTGTTCTATTTTCAAATTTTTAATCAAACTATGCATCATGCGTAACATTTTTGTTTCGTGTAAATCTATTAATTATTTGTAATAATGTTTAGGTAATATTAACATCTCCACAATATCCTGCTTTCCTTGATCATGCACTCAAGTCATTTATGAAAATCCTGCAAGAAGGAGAACCTTACTTTGTTTCTGAGTACAGTGCAAATGTAAGTTGAAGAATTTTGAAAAAATGTTCATGAATTATTAATTTTATTTTATATTATTAATTATGCTTAAATTTGTTCAATTTTCAGCAAGTTCGTAAGCTTATTTTGGAAATGATATATAGAATTCCGACGAACAAATATTTAAAACCATACGTAGAACAGTTACTCACAGTTACTCTTAAGCTGCTAGAAAGGGAAAATGAACAAACAGTTTTAGTATGCTTAAGAATAATAATTGAGTTGCATAAACATTACCGCCCTGCATTTAATAGTGAGGTAATTCATCTATTACTAACTGCCAGTAGTAATCATAGACAATAGTAATAATACTTATTGAAATAATTAGTTTTTATTTTAATGAATTCTGTTAAAATGCTCCTTGCTATTGTAAATAAATCATTTATTGAATTATTTTGATATGATTTTTCCCTTCTCCCTTCCATTCTGACCTTTAAATTTCTTTTAAATCGTAAGTTTTTTTTTTTAAAGTTCATATTTAATTTAAAATTTTTCATGTTTAATTATTATTTTTATTATTTTTCCTCGCCATTCCAAATTTCTAGATCAATCTTTATTATCATGAATAGCTCTTTACTATTACTGATTTCTTGCTAATTAAATTCATTGTTATTCCGCTCAAATAATTTATTGTTTTTTTTTTCAGATTCAACGATTTTTGCAGTTTGTTCGATCTATTTATAAAGATCTCCCAGATCATATGAACAAAATATTTGAACCTAAAAGTCCAATAAGAGTGAAAGATCTTAGTGAAATTAATGTTGAAGCTCTTTTAACAGAAACATACACTATGACCCCAATTCAGTGCATCAAGAAAAATCCTGATGGTTCCATTAGTAAAAAAACAGTAAGAAATAATTATATGTTTTTGATATATACACAACATTAAGATATGTTAACTTTATAGAAAATTTTTTTTTTAGTATAATCTCGTCCCTAAAGGAATATATTCCTTAAAAGTCCTTCAGGAACTTCCAATTATTGTAGTTTTGATGTATGAATTGTACAAAGAAAATGTTCGCCAAGAAGTTGATGACTACATACCAATAATAATTAAAACCATCACATTACAACCATTAAAACAACATAGGTAATATGAAGTTACTGAGGTAGCAATACTTAATATATAATATTTTAATTTTTGTTATTAATGCTTCCATTTTCAATTTTAGAATGAATCCTGCTTTTAATAAAGAAGTTTTTGTTGATTTCATGGGTGCTCAGATTAAGACCCTTTCACTTTTGGCATATATTATCCGAATATATGAAGAAGTCGTTGGTAAATATTCTCAACAAATGGTTGAGGGTATGCTAGGAATGTTAGCTCTTTGTCCAATGGAAGTGACTCACTTAAGAAAAGAACTCTTGATTGCTGCTAGGCACATTTTAGCCACTAAATTAAAACTGAGTAAGAGATATATCATTTGTTAATATTTTATTTAATCTTTTACTGGATTTTTTAGAATAAATATTCAGTCAAGATCAAACTTATAATTTTCATTTTAGCATAAAAAATCTAACTTGTTATTTGCAGTATTTGTACCATATATGGAAAGACTGTTTGATGAAGAAGTTCTTCTTGGAAGAGGATGGACCACTCACGAATCTTTAAGGCCTTTAGCATACAGCACACTTGCTGATTTGGTACATCATGTTAGACAACAGTTACCCATGTCTGATCTTGTCAAAGCTGTACATTTATTCTCAAAAAATGTCCACGATGAAACATTACCTACCACGTATAATATTTGTTTAATTGATGTATTAGTTTTATTTTTAATGGAAGGTTAACTAATATTTTTCAATTCCAGAATACAAACTATATCTTGTAAGTTACTGCTCAATCTTGTTGAATGTATAAAGCAGCAAAGCGAAAAAGATCCTTCACAAGCACAGACAGGACAAGATCTTCTCATGAGAATGCTGGAAGTGTTTGTTGTTAAGTTTAAAACTATTGCAAAACTACAACTACCAGTTTTAATTGCAAAAAGGTTTTTTAAAATTTATTTTATTTTATTTAATAAACTTTATCTCTTATCTCTAGTACTTATTTACATTAATTGTTATAATCATTTAATTCTTTTTCAAAACAAAATCATTTGTAAGCAGTCAGTTCACTATTATTTTCTTCCTACTTCTACAAATATTTATTTTCTGGAGGTTTGATTTTTTTTTTTTTTTTTGTTAAAATATTAAATACTGGTACTGGCATTGCTTATAGTGGGGGGAACTAGTCCAGCAAGTGGGCCACATTATGATCCTTTTTGCCAACTCGTTTATCTTAGGTTGCAGCCAAGAAATGAAAAGTAACTGACCCAGTTAGGAATTGAACCCACAAAGTTCAAGAACCGGACACTCTAGGACTCACGTCCCTACATTCTCCGCCATCCCGTCCTCGGTTTTGGTTTTGTGTATAATGTAATGAGTTCTTTTACTTGTTAGCGAAAACACGCCCTAAAAAATTAAAATAGTTTAAAAAATGTTTCTATTCAACATGTTCAGATAGGTAGAGTTTCATTAACAAAATATATTTTTTGATGGAATAAAAAATATGTTAAGAACTCTTACAATTTTTTTACCACACTAGGAATATGTCAGGAATGCAATTGAAGGTCCCATTTGTTGGTATTGGCCTTTGATCTTTCACTATGTAAAACCAAATGGAGAATGGAATACGAGCCCTTTATATATTCTAAATTCTTGTTTGTTAATGACTATGCTCAGTTACGGCCTTAGGGTGTTGCAACTGGGGCGCCTACCTAGAGGGGTACCAGCCGATCTTCAGGGGCCCTTGCCACTTGTTACAAATTAAAAAAAAATACAGATAATACGTGTTAAAATTTGTAATTTTAGCCTATCAATAAAGCAAATGTATTAGAAAAATGTTGAATTGCATAAAATTCCAATATTCCATCATACAAAACAGCTGAAGAAACAAATTTAATTTTTTTAAGGGAGGGAAGATCATGTCATTGCTCGCGGGGGCGCCGAATTTCTAGGCTGGCACTATCTATGCTATAATCAGCCACCCAATGACCAAGATCTCCAGACAAATTTAATCCTTCTAAGCTAAACTAAGCAGAATACATTTTTACCCGACAGTTAATTGTATGATGTAAAACTCTCTAATGGTAGTGAAAGTAGTTTCAAACCTGCTGCTATCTCTTCATGTTTTTTCTCTAAGTACGGTAGGAACAAATCAAGATCACTTTGCATTATTATCAGTTAGATGATGTCTTTACCTAGGTTACCATAAAATCAAGGAAACTAATCTTGTTTGCTTAGGTGGGTTTTGGTGTATATAAATGTGTAATAATTAAGTAACTGTTATAATAATTAAATTACAACCAATTTACACCTAACATTTATTTATAACTTCTAATAACATTAACACAATTTTATTAGCAAGCAAAGTGAAGTTCAAAAGCAAGTTGTGCAAGCTGCTGCTGCATCGGTTACAGCTCCTGGAGCGTCTTCTCTTTTACAAGTGAAGAAGGAAGAACCTGAACTTGGTAATATATATTTCACTCTAATTACAAATGAAGAAAGACAATATAAAATGTGGAAACTTATTAATAAAAAGTTATTCGAACTTTCAGATACAAAAGTTGAAGAAAAAGAGCCTACCAAATGTAAATTTGGTTTCCCTACATCACAAGCTAATGCTTATACTGTTAGTGACTGTAGAGGTCTAGTTAAAACCTTAGTGTGTGGAGTAAAGACCATAACATGGCGGTTTAAGGTAACATATATTTGATTGAATGGATTTCAAGAGGAAGAAAACATTTTTATTTTTCATTTGGTCACATATTTATGTTTAGTTTTCGAATTCTACATATATGTTTTTATTTGAAACTACTTCTAATTTGTGCCAATTAATTTTATTGATTTCTTATTTTGTTTTTTTTAATTAAAGGTAATTCTCTTTATTTACTTACTGGTATGTAGTTATTTATGTAGCTGTTGTCATTTATGATGAGAAATTCAGCATATGAAATGTAAAAAAGCTATCAATTGATAACTTTTGCGAGCAACCTCTTGGCTGCTTTGTTGAACTGGATGGTGTTTGAACTATTCATAGTTTCCACCTCTGATGAAGATCATGGTTGATTTTAGTTCTTTAAAAGCATTATTTTTTTCAGTAAATCAGCTTTTTTTGTCCCATGCTACTTTCCGTTCTTTAGTCCCATTAATACAATCTGTAATTTAGTATCATCCCACCAGCTTTCTCTTTTTCGTATCATTCTAAACCTTTTATATGCCAAACTGCTTGTCACTGTTTGTGTTTCTTACTAATGTGCCATCAATTATGATTCTTAACATTTCTCCTTGGTTAGTAAAATACTGTTTGCTTTCAAATCTTTTTGATGTAAATATATATACATGTGTTCATTTCTCTATTACGTCAGGTAAAATGTATGTATTCAGTGTAATTCACTGGTTTCTAGGCACTAACAGATCCAGTATTTAATTTTGGAGAGATCCAGCTCTAAAGCTTAATGCATATATAAAACGATAATTATTTGGGAAGAAAAAGAAAGAAACTACCTATATGAAATGTTTAAACGATTCTAGAATTTCTTTTATAAATGTAATCACATGAACAATAATACTTTTAGAAATATTTTTTCCATATTTAGTTGTATACATATTATAATTTAAGAAATAAAACATATTGTTATTGTTTAAGTATTTAAATAGATGACTCATAGTAAGAAATATCGTCCAATGAAATTAAAATAGTTTTTCCATTTTGGGGGCCTCGGCCCGAAATTTTCCTGAGATCAAAATAAAAATTTCCATTTTCGAAAGTTTTGCTTGAAAAAGAATGATTAAAAAAATTATTCTATGGCCCAGTTTAAAATTTCTTGTAATGCTCAGATGTTACGATTGCTTATCTCGTTTTTTATATTAAAAAGAAATTTGGTTTGGGCTTCATAAAACTTTCACTTACCAACCTTAGAGTAGACAGGTATTTTCATATATATATATATATATATATATATATATATATATATGGAAGTTAAATTGAAAACAACGATATTAATTCATTTAAAATAATTAATTACCATGGTTTCTTGCCCATTGAATCTGTAAAATTTAAACGTTTGTATTACTTTCCATCTCCTTTTACGACCGTGTATTGTACCAAATAATACTGATGACTGTGGGGGAAATAGATCTTTCGGAAAAATTCTGCGTTTTATTGGCAAAATTTATTATGAAACTTGTTGAAAACATAACTTAACGTTAGTAAATATTGTATATTATTAGGTTTATTATAGTAGATTCTCAACATTTTACATAAGAACTTTTTTAGAGGGTTATGGATAAGTGATATACTAACAATATGAAAGTCCTGTACAGAGGGGCTTCAGGTATCTGTAAAGATTTGACAAAGATTATAGAAGTTATATGATTGACATGGATCGGTTTCGCTCCGTTGTTTCCGTATAGCTTCCAACTTTTATTTCTCCTTTAGTTACCAATCAATGATTTTAACCTCATGCTATCTTTTTTATTTATTTTGAAAGTCATTTAAGCTTTTTTATTTATTTTCTTCATTTTAATTTTATACGTTATTGTTTAGCTCCCTCACATATATATATAAATATTTTTTGTATTTTACCTGTATTATATCCTACAGACATTGAAATTGCAGCTGAAATGGAAGGAAACTCAAGTTTTTATAAGATTAGTGAAATGGGCTCTACAAGCGCTTGATATATACACACTGAGTATGGCGCCAACTACCTCACTTAGTGTCAGTGCTGCTGGGCAAAGGCCAGCTGCTCAGCAAACTGTTAGAACAAAAGAAGAAAAAGAAGTCTTAGAACATTTCTGTGGAGTGGTAAATTATTATAATAACCAATTGAAATAAAACATTCTGATGTTGTTTAAGAATTGCCATTTTTCTTTCCCCATTTTAACATTTCAGTTTTCTGTAATGGATGCTCAAACATTCCGTGAAATATTTTCTACTACAATAGAGTACATGGTTGAGAGGATTGCGACAAACTTTGCTCTGCAAATCGTAGGAAATTCCTTTCTGTCAAACCCTGGCACTTCCCCTATATTCGCAACTGTTTTAGTGGAATATCTTCTGGGAAGAATGGAGGAAATGGGCAATGGAAATATGGAAAGGAGTAACCTCTATTTGAAGTTGTTCAAACTTGTTTTTGGAAGTGTTTCACTGTTTGCGGCTGAGAACGAACACATGCTCCGTCCTCATCTACATCAAATTGTTAATAGGTATTGTTTCTTATTCATTTTAAAATTTTTATTTGTTATTTTTGGTATAAAATAGTACTAATTATATTACTAATGATTGATATGGCTTAGAATAAAAATGTATTTAATAGATTGCTCCTTCAATGAGTTAAGCTACTAATAATCTACTTTTAAATTATTTATTCACCAAATTCTCTTCTCAATGACTTCTTCATCAAGTCTGAAGCTAGAAAAATTATGATCTCAAAAATGGAACTTTTTTCTTTACTCAGTATACAGTAAGTTTAGTTTTGAGTTTAGTATCCATTCAAAGAAATTTTGTATTTTCATAGGTCCATGGAATTGGCTATGACAGCCAAAGAACCTTATAACTATTTTCTACTTCTGCGAACTTTGTTTCGTTCAATAGGTGGAGGGAATCACGATCTTCTCTACCAGGAATTCTTACCACTTCTACCTAATCTACTTCAAGGTAATTTGTTAATATTATTTTTTTTAATTTATAAGTTTGAATATCTTTCTATTCAATAATTTGTATTTGGTGATTGGTTTGTAGTTAAAATTCAAATGTGGAAACATGAAATGCTGCAGATGTGCAGCAATATTATTTTTTTTATTATTTATTTTATTTTTTGGTGCTACGGTCCTACAAGAACCAGGGCCTCTCTTGTTGTTCTTCTCCACTCTTCTCTATCTCGGGCGAGCATTCTCCATCTCCAGATTCCCGGATTACTTTTCAGGATGTCCTCCACCTCGTTAAGCCATCTCGGGCAGTGTTTTCCTCTGCTAAGTCCTCCACTAGGTCGATCATCAGCAATCGCTTATGAATGGAGTCACTGGACATCTGATTTGGTTATGTCTTGCAATACATAGATAATTATAATATTATCCAATTTATATTTACTACTAAAAAAAATATATACCTGAAATTATTCCTGGTAAACATGAACGAGGTGCAACCTTGCAGTAAACTTTCGCCTTTAAATCAAAGTTCATACTGGATCTTCTATATTGTGTATAGTATCAATTGAGGTATTTATTGGGAACATACATTATTCTTCTGTTTGGACCGAATCAGGGTAAAATACCTGGTGAGTATCTAATCTTTGATCTCGATGCTGAGGCAGTTTAGGTAAAACACTACATGATAATTATAAAAACATCCAAATCTTGTACGAATTTTTATTTGAAGGCAAAAATATTGAGTAAAATTTTTTATTTTGGGATTGTCATTTAAATTTGTATTTAAAGATTCTTCTGAGGTGTGAAAAAAAATATCAACTTTGATTTTTATTAAATTAACATCTATGGGATATATAGATGCTTTCCATGTATAATGTCAATAATACATGCATTTAACACTATAAAAATAATAAAAGAATACATTTAATTATTATTTTTTCTTTCATTAATGTTTCATCCCTTAAGGTCATTTTCAAGAGAAAAATGTATTTAGAATTAAAAACATTTTGGCTAATTTCCCTGTGTCACATTTTTTTATGTATAATACTGAAACCATTGATAAGGATTTCAGTATTATATTTAAAAAAATATGAAAGCCAAAATTTTTTTTTTTTAGGTTTTTTTCTTAAAAATGGTCTGAAAATGTTTGTTGAATAAATTAGGCTTTATGAATGAAATGTATTATTTTATTATTAGAAATAGAATAGAAGTCTTCACCAACTATATTAAATATATATATATATATATATATATATATATATATATATATATATATATATTGTTAGGTTACATTTCCTTTGAAAAGTAAACAAAACAGTTTCTCAACCAAATTATATTTATTTTACATAATTATGAATTCTCAAATTGGGTTCAGGCAACATACACACATTCCTCAAATATATATTACAAAGGCATACATTAATTCTATATAACATATTTATGATCTTTCATTCATTTTGTTGGGTCTACTCATGGCGCACTTTCCAACTGGTACTTTTTATATTTTACTCACCCGGTTCTGGAGTGAATCCTCTGTATTGTTGTATTCAACTTCTACAATCTTCTATTGACACTCACTACTTGTTAGTCACTTCTTCTTCTCTCAATCCTCTTTACTAGCCGGCTGGCTACCTTCTCCCCCACATATGGCACTTGCTTCCCCTTCCATCTGTCTTTGTCCATTTTTCAAAGTAGTTCATGACGTAACTGCTTTCACGCCACTGTTTAAAATCACTGTGTAGTATTTACATTACAATATGTATATATATACGCATAGGGTGTTTCAGGGTAAAGTGACCAAACTGAAAATATGAAATAATGACCTCAAACCAAGAAAAAAAAATTCCTATGAAGGTATGTCCACAAACGCTTTGTTTAGGACATATTCACATCTAAAAATTGTCATTGTTATGAATTATTTACATTATATTACGTAAATAAAACTTATTCACTTGTTCCAACTACTTTATTAATTAAACGTAAACATTAAATGTTCCTTGAGCATTAAGAAAAGCTCGTCATCTTTCTTCAACAGCAGCAGTGGCAAAAAGGCACTGGATATGTGTTATCGTTTCACAAGATTCAATTATCCTTCTTTGTAAGAAATTAATGTCATTGACCAGACTTGCATATACTTTTTGTTTAATGCGAATGTTTAAGGCCAAGCCACTAGTCCTGCACGGCCAATCCATAATAATGATGACAACTCTGCGAAAGCCTCTTACAAACTGATAAATGTTATTGAGAGTTCCCAATGCTGATTCCAAATAGTATTAATCCTTATGTTGCCAATAGTTTTTATATAGTTAAGGATAAAAGGCCATATTAGTATTCTATCTAATCCATCACTTAAACAAAGTGTTTGCGGACATACCTTCACTACATATATATATATATATATATATATATGTGGTAGTATATACTACCGTGTATGACTACTGTTGAAGAAAGATGCCGAACATTTCTTAATGCTCAAGGAAATCACTTTGAACAACATTTAATATGAATTTAATGTTTATGTTTAATATATATATATATATATATATATATATATATATATATATATATATATATATATATATATATTTTAATACTATCGAAATACTTCAACAGCTATGTCTTTATCCTTCATTGTTGAGTTTGTTGTATAAATAAAAAATAAACAAATAAAGAAGTTCTAACTAAATTTATTTCATGCAAAATTTTGGTTTTAATATCACAATTTAGAACTAAAACTATAGTTTTTCGCATTTCTAAAAATTCACAGTGATTAGGGTTCATTTTTTAAATAAATAACTCATATGATTGGTTCAGACACATTTTGATTTATTTATTTTTATTTAAAAATAGCATCACTAACTTCCAAAACTCAAGATCGCCGCTGGTTCAAATCCAGCTGGTGGCAGGTAATTATTTATTTTGTTTCATTGGCTGTGGATGGACTCTGGGGTCGGGAGACCCTTTTGGGACACACCCAGCCTCTATAAAGTGGGTACTCATAATTAATGAAGGTGGAAAACCTAGTGGTGGATCGTGGTCTTGATCAGGTCACCTCCTTGCACAGCATTTACCAAGAAACAGTCCTTCCTTTCATAGTGCTGAACCCATGACCCTTTATCTGTTGTTGTGGTGCAGATATTAATATATATTAATTTTTTATTATTTTCTTCTCTGCAGGTCTTAATAGCTTACAATCAGGTCTTCACAAACAACTCATGAAAGATTTGTTTGTTGAACTTTGTTTGACAGTTCCGGTTAGGCTAAGCTCTCTTCTACCATATTTGCCAATGTTGATGGACCCATTGGTATCTGCGTTGAATGGTTCCCATACTCTAATATCTCAGGTATTATCACTATGTAAATATTTTTACAAATCATGATGACAATTTTTTTATATCCTAAGATACATTAAGTGGCTGAAAAAACCTTGTAATATTCAAAGAAAAACTAAAGTCACTCGTCACAAATTTAATGGTTATCTCATATTATTTTTATTATTATTTTTTTTAATTTTTTTTTTGTAGGGGCTTAGAACTTTAGAGCTCTGTGTAGATAACTTACAACCTGATTTCTTGTATGAACATATACAACCAGTTCGTGCAGATCTTATGCAGGCTCTTTGGAGATCCCTTAGGAACCCTTCTGATCAAGTTGCTCATGTAGCCTTTAGGTATGTCATAGTTCAGATTTTCTGTATCTATTGATTACTATATTAGATTGTTTTTTTAGGTACAAGATAATTTTTTTTATTATTAGATACATATCTTTGCTTAATTGTGTATGTGTTCAGATTTTCAATGGTACAAGAATGAAGTTTTTGTTCCAGTTCTCACAAAATTATGCCAAGAGTGTATTTCACATTTAAGTGCTAGAGAAAAGACTATTATTGATTGTTTTTTAGGATTGTATGATTTTCAATTACCCACCATACATACCTTAGTACCATAGTACACCTTGATCCATGTTCATGTCCTTTAATCTACATTGATGTAATGCTTGTACTTTTTCTGTTGGATATTCAAATACAAAGACAGACTAACCACTGGTTGCAGATCATCTGAACTGGATTTACAAAGTTGGAAACTATCTCACACATTTATAACCCCTTTCTGAGCTTGATGGAAGAGAGTGGATCAGTCATTAAACAACTGTTTACAGTTGTACAGGAAAATTCACTGAAAAGAATTTTAAAATGAAATTTAAAAGGATTCTTATTTGAAAATGTAGGCTTAGTGTGTGTGATATATATGGTGAATAAGTGAAAGAAAGTCTACTGTGGAGTATGAAATAAAAAATTGGAATAATGTTCCTTAGGGATAAATTGTTACAAAACAGATCGATGTAATAGAAATAGCTGTTCAAATATAAAAACCAAACAAAAAAACAAAGTATGATTTCAGTCAACCCCATAAAAGACATTGAGTTTCATACAAATGTATGGCTTGTCAGGAACTGAAACTACATGTTCTCAAGCAACTGAAAAAGGACAATAAACTAGGGTGTCAACCAGCTAAGAAATAAGTCAAGGAATTTGTTGTTTTGAAACATTCTGGAATTAGTTGGAAATTTTGCCAAAGAAGAGAAATTCTTGATAAGTTCTCATTTTGAATATGTCTCTTCAATTTGATCTATAGGTTATCTATTTTTGGCAGTGAAGAGAATGAAAAAGACTTCAAAGCCACTCCACCTTTTCTTCAACATTGATGGGTCAATTTTATTTTAGATTCAACACAAATGTCACAGGTTGATCCTCCAAAAAAAATTGGTGAAAAAGTAGAAAATTTGTCGGGAGTTAAAATTACCAAAATTGGTCGATGAACTTATAATAACTATAATGTATTAAATAGTCTGAATTATTATTATTTTTTTTTCCAAAGAAGAAAGTAAGTTTTTATATCAAAATTTGAAAGTTATGATCATAATTGATGGTTTCCTCACAAATCATCTGTTAAAATATCTCAAGAAGATGAAACTTTTAAAAACTTTCTGTCTTTGTTCAGAGGATGAAAAAAACAATGTTTTTTTTTTTTTATTGTGAATTTGAAGTACTCATTTTGTAGGCTGGAGTTATTAAAAGTTCTATTCCTTAGATTAATCCTTAAAAAATTTCTTTATTCTTTCAAGGTAGTTAGATTTTCGTAAAGTTAACCGATGGGTCAATGCCACCATTTCTTAACTTCCTTCCAATAAAAGAATAGTACCCAATTGGGATGTTATTGAACTGCTTCATTTTATTATCGCAATAAAAAAAAAAGTCTGCTAAGTAAAGTCAGTAAAGCTACCGTTTTTATTGGTTCTATATTTCAAGGTCTATAATTTTTCATATGAGAATATAATCTCCGGGAGAAGCAGTTTTTGGAACAACAGTAATCCTTCAACATTCGTGGGGTTGATATTCACGAGTTTTGCTCTTCAGCAAATACTAAAATGTGGATAAGTTCCATATTTGTAGATTGTGTATTTGATGATTTGTGATTAAAAAAAAAAATCCAGTACATACTGAACAAGCATATTGCTATTGTTAGTGCAAAAGGTTGTATGTAAAAATTGAGTGTTTTACAGGAGAACATAAAAGCTAATTATTCCTTTATTATTATTATTTATTAGTATAATTTCGTGTTTTATTACCTTTTGCTAATTTTCATAGTAGTAAACTATCTATATCATGACTACAACATCTGTCATCTTTAGCACAAATAGAATAAAAATTAAAAATGTTTGCATTGATAGTACTTATACTTAATAGGTATGTCTTCGCTCGTAAAATGGATGGATCAAAAAATCTATTGGAAAAATTCAACTTTTTGTTTGTTTGGAGTTTATCAAAACCACTATTTTTTCTTCAGTCCGTACAAAACTACTTTAACCTGAAATACAAAAATATGGATGAAGATTACACAACTTTGATGCTTAAGGAGAAAATCAAGACCATGGCAAGGTGGTTGAACCAATAGAAATAAACACAATCTAAAAACATGTGTTTGCGTGTGCATAAGCGGAAGTGTTGGGCAGAATTTGATAAAATTTATAAGGGACCATCTTAGCACCAACCTGCACTATCCCTGAAAATGTCATGAAAATTGGATAAACAGTAGTAGTTGATTTGATATGCTCGTTAAATCGATTTGACTACAGACAGACACAATCCAAAGCAAATTTGATCCTTGATTTCTGAAACGTAAAATGCGGGTGGAATTTTTCAATTCTGAGTACAAAATTTTTCTAACATCGCACGAATACAAAGCTTCCCAACCTTCAGTAGTGAGGAAGCAAAAAACTTCCATTTTTATGTTGTATTCATTGTTTAATGTTGTAATATTATTAGGTTTACTTTGCCTGTTTTTGAAGCATATATCTCTTATCAGATAATAGTTATTAACAAGTGATTAGTAGACCAAACAACTGGATGAGCATTAAAAATAAAAATAAAAAGTTATTAATGGCTACTTGTTAATAAAATGTTCATTGAAAAATCATATTTTTATTTTGCTAATATTTTCACACCTTAATATATAGCTGTCTGCAGAGTTTTAGGCAAATTCGGAGGTGGAAATCGTAAAATGATGATTGAGCCTCAGAAACTTGAATATTGCACAACTGACACTCCTGGACCATGTGTTGTTATACCGTTCCCTGAACATTTTAAGCGAGTGTACCATCCTGTTGTTAAAGTAAATCAAAAGCATTATTTGTATTGTTTTTTAGCTGTAGTTTAATTTAATTTTAATATTCCAACAAATAATTGCAGATAATTGAAACAGCTGTTTCTATCTTAAAACCTGGCAATGCAGAAATTTATTATCGAAGAATGGCATGGGGCGTCATTAAAGATTATATTTTGGCTTCAATGAAGTTTGATGATGATAGAGCTATATTATTGAAGTTTTTAAATTATCCTGGGTAAATACCACTTTTCAATTTCTTTACAGAAAGAAGTTAATCAATAAATGTTTTTTTTTATACTTGTTTTTTTCTTTAATTTTTAGATTGAAAACAATTCAGGATAATGTTGGGCAAGGCCAGCCATATAAATGTCCTGATGCCCAAGCTAGACAAGCTCAAGTGAATGCACTGACTGGTGAATTTTTAAATTGTCATTCCTATGTTTTTAAAATTCAGAATGTAGATTATATAATTAAAATTTATTGCAGGAATGTTTTATGCTTTCATTGTCAAAGATATCAATGAAGATGTTCAACCTATTTTTGAAGCAGTTGTCAGGCATTACACTATAATATCTATTGCTCAACAGTCAGGTATATATGTGTTTATTTGAGTACATTAAAATTGCATGAAAACAAATAATGATCTTTGATAACCAATCTGTTATTCAGTGAAACTTCTTTACATTGGTCTCAACTGTTAAAATATCTATGATTTCCGAGTTAAAAGTATAGGAAACCAATCATTGTATTCCTAACCTCAGTATAAAAGAAATATTCTAAAATCTATACATGTACTTCTCAGACTAAAAATATATATTGACGAAATCCCATATTGACTGTGTAAGGGTCTCTTAAGACAAAGAGATAGAATTACTTGTTTACTTTTCAGCAATGAGTTTCAAGCAAATTCCTTGCTGAGCGTACCTCCCTGAATGAGACCTTCAAAGTCGGGTCGAAACGCCTTTTAATAAAACAGTTTTGCCACTATATAGTCTATTTATGATCGACACCCTGGACCACCTCCTTCCTTAATAATAATATGTTTGACTGAAAATCCTGAATATCTATCTATCTTCCCAGATAATTTTCAAAAAATATATCATAGGAAATAAATCAATAGATAGTTTACTCTTATTAATTTTACAGGTGCTTTTACTTCATCCCAAGAGCAAAACTGTTTGGATCCCTTAGTTATTGTCGACGCCCTTGCTATTGTGATGGGCCATGAAGAAAAAGAATTGTGTAAACCTGCCAAAATGATGCTGGGATTTGTTCTAAGAACAGCAGAAACAATTCTCGGTTCTAAAGATACTGTTAGTTATCTTTTACCTTATCTTGTACAGTTCATTGAACTATTTTTTATAGCTATTCATAAAATTAATTTGATTTTTCAGGCTTGTCGACTTCCTATAATGGAATATGTTGCTGAACGAATGTGCTCCTTATGTTATGATAGAGCATGGTATACTAAATTAGGAGGCTGTTTAGCTATAATGTATCTTTATGAATCTATGTCGATACGTTGGGTATATTTACATATGTATGTGTTCGTCAAAGCACAACTGTTTGTGATGATGGATCTAACAGGAGAGGTATATAACATTTACTTTAATCACTGTTATTGATAGTGCATATTAGTATGCCTGTAGTTTATTAGTTGTAAATTAACTTCTTTGGAGATTCAGATATTATTAACCATTACTAACCGATTCAAAAATCTTCAGTATGCAGTTACTATCCTGCTGTCACAAAGTTCTGAAATTTACTTCAGTAATGAATTGAATGGAAATTGCCATTTTAATCAGATTATTAATAATAAGTATTGAAATAATGTTTCATTCTGAGGAGCAAGAAAAGAAAATAGTTCATGATAGTAGCTTTTAGCACAATTGTGTACCAACAAGAGGGTTAACATTGAATCCGATTTTTATAAAAGAGCGGAAAATGATCTTAACAGAAATAGTTGCTGCTGGAGCCAACTTCTAGATACTCCCACTAGCAGAAATGTTATTTTTTTTAATAAGGATAAAAATATTGTAAGTCTTTAGGAGAGCGGATAAAATGGACAAAATATAACACATTTGTCTGGAAAGTTAATATAAAAGTGAAAACAAAAGAAGAAAGAAACAATATTGAATTACCTGATTAAACTTATGATCATTCTTTTTTTCACTTTTATCTGAATATAAATTCAGTCATGCACCAACGGTAATGAAATCTACCACTCAGAGGCCATGCAGTCAGAGACGAGAACTGAACACTTCACAATGAAAATTATAATTGTTATTCGTGATAGAATTCATTCGATTGTTGGTCAGATAGAATTCTCACCCAATATTGCAGCACTAGAAAATAGATTATACAACCCATTCCACCTCACTATGCAAGCTGTAGTTGTTCATGAATGAATCAGTTGGTGAAGTCAAATTTAGAGCTCGAATAACTCAATGACAGAACAATAGAAAACAGACTTTTCAAATCGAACCAACTTGTATAAATCATTACGTATAAAGTCATTTTATATTTTGTCATCCTAGCGATCAGTCACGGTTAGTTTAAAACAACTGAATATTGTTTGGCAATTCCTATGGCATTACAAGGTAGAGAAGGGCAAATGGTGAAAGAGTTTGTTGGGCTGTAAGTATTTTAAATTTAGTTCATAATTGTCGGATTAACCTTAACTAACTTTAAGGTTAAGTCGAATTAACTTTTTTTAATATTTAGTTTAATCATAAATATTTAATTAATATAAATTATTTAAAAATTTAGTTTCAGTTAATAGTGAATATATAAGACTTTAAAAAAATGTGCTTGTAAAATAAAGGATCAAGTGGATCAAGATGATTATTAATAAAGATAAAGATAAAGATGATTATTATTACTATATTAGTGGACAAAGATGATTTGTATTCATTTTTCTTCTGATTCGACTATTGTTACTTATCACCCTCATCCGTTCTACCCTTTTATTATAATATATTTAACACGTTTCAGATCTTCAATCATCTTGCTGATAAAATGATTAATAAAAAAAAAGTTTAATTTGTAAACATTAAACTACTTAAGGGAATACTTCAAAAGTGAATATCAACTCGGATTAATGATTTTAATCATACCTCTTAATTTTCAGACTTAAGAAATTATTGATTAGATAGAATCCGTTATGAAAATAAACTATACTATAATCTAGATAATGTATGATATTTATTTGTTACATTTCAGGTATCGAGTGGAGCTATTGATCAAGCTAAATCCAATCTCGAAGCTCTGATAAGAATGTGTGCACCTATTCTAGAATTTAATTGTGATCTTGAACTCCAGAACATTCAAGCTAAGGCCCTAAGTGATGTTTCGTTCGAATTGATTCGACAAGTAACGAGTCCGACTGATCTTATTCGAGAACAAGTAATGTTAACAATATTCTATATTCAGAAATTACTTATGTGTTGGAATATGTTCAGTGTCATAGAATATAAAATGTTTTTTTTAGTCAATGCATCTGCTCCGTGTTTTCGCCGAGGTTCAAAACAAGAGTGTTGTCGAAGTTATGGAACCGCACAAAGATGTGTTGGCAGACATGATTCCTCCGAAAAAGCATCTTCTGAGGCATCAGGCTGCCAATGCTCAGATAGGATTGATGGAAGGAAATACATTTTGTACTACTCTTACTCCACGACTTTTCACAATAGGTATCTTATATTTATTCCATGTATTTTTTTTTTAGTTTTGATCGTTGCTGGACATTATTTTAATCAGTTAAATTATACATTCAGTGTTTTAATTTTCTAAAATTTCTTTATTAATTCTATACTAATGTTTTGTTACTCATTTACTACCTATTATATGTTATTTCTGACAACAGATCCCTTTTCTGGCTCTCAGTAGCCATGGATTTTGAGAAATGGGGTATCATAAAGAAAAGTGGTATGTTGTTTGACTGTAGTGAATAATTGAAGAGAAGTTGGTTGGGGTGTTCACTAAAAAATAAATAAATGTTAATTATTTTTATATTTTCCGATGTTTCGGCTCAAAGTTAAAGTTCAGGCCTTCATCAGGGCTGGACTCATGAGACGCTCTTTGGTCTTATGAGAACTTCTCTTGAGTCTAGCCCTGATGAAGGCCTGAGTTTTGGGCCGAAACATCGACAAATATAAAAATAAATATCATTTATTTATTTTTAAGTTTTTTTTTTTTTTTTTTTTTTTACTGAACACCCGAACCAACTTCTCTTCAATCTATCAGAAAGGAAATGAATTTTATGTTGAATGGGTGAATTGTAATTTGTACTAGGACTTAAATAAAATGAATGTAAGTAGTAGGTTTCAAAATTCAAAGCAGTGCGAAGTTGGAGAACTGGAATCGGACAAAATAGGTTTTAAAGTATAATATAATTAAAAAATTGTAGCTACCCAATACTTTAAGATCATTTCTTTAAAATTGCGGGGTTTCGGAAAAAAAAGTTGATACCCCTAAAAAGCACTTCTCTAAGACCAACTCAATTAATATAGAATTTGACAACCCCTAACTCAATTAAAAGAGGCTGCAGAGGTGCACAAAATTTAAAAAATGAATAATTACAAAAATAACATGAAAATGCAGGGGGTTTAGAAAAAAAAAAAAAAAAGAAAACAACTGTCAGTCTTTAAAATTGAGCACATACAATTTATTGGAAAAAGTTTTACTAGTTCAGGTAATTTTAAAAATAAGTATGGAATAACTTTAAATTTCCTTTATTTTTAAAACATTAAAAGGAGATGAAGTAAGCGAAAAAACTACCATTATTCAAACTGTATCACTTTATATTTTAAATTTATTCTAAACTTTGATACTCATTATGATTTATTTTCTTTTTTACTACTTTAAAAAATAATATTAATAATAATAAAGGTAATTAAAAAAAAAAAAAAATAGCTACTGAAGCATTACATGCAACATCAATTTTTGTTTTTTGTTTTTTTAGATCTTAAAGTAATGGAGCATAAAGTATTTTTCCACGAAGTATTGTCATTATGCGAAGCTCAAGACCAAGCCCTTATGAAAATGCCTTGTTATAAAAACATAGGATCGTTGGTTCCCTTGAGGAAAGCGGCTATGAGAGCTCTTGCTGCTTGTCACTACATACCCGGTTGCTCTGAAAAAATATTTAACACCTTGTATCAATCCTTAGACCGGCCAAATCAAGAACTTCAAGAAGCGGCCTTTCAATGCATGAAGACATTTGTTTCAGGCACCCAGATTGATATGAATGTTGTAAGTTCATTAATTTTTTCTAAAGCTGATTTGAGAATAGTTATGTCATTCTAAGAATTCTGATTATTGTCTTTTCAATTTTGTTTGTTCTAAATGATTTTAATCTGATATTTGTATTTTTTTTTCTTTATCAATTGTTTGAAATTTATTTTCAAAAAACAAAAAAATCAAATATCCAGTACAGTAAGTACCTTTACTATTTGATTTAGGTAATTATTGATTGCAGCATAGTAAATGAAACAAATTTTTCTTCTAATTTATGTACAATTTCTCTTTTATAAAAATAGTTATAAGAGCTACCTTAAAATATTTTTATAAAAGAGAAATTGTGCACAAATTAGAAGAAAAATTTGTTTCATTTACTATGCTGCAATCGGTAATTACCTAAATCAAATAGTAAAGGTATGGTAATAAATGGTATCAAATAGTAATATAATTCAAAATAAAACAGTTTATAAGAAAATAAAGAATAAGTTAGCTGTTTTTCAACATTTGGGACAATTGCACAAACTGCATATTGATCTACATATACGATTGGTATGTTGAAAAATGTTTACCATTAATAGTTAGCATAAATAATTTTGTGTTTTATCTTTTTCATGTTACTTCTACAGGAACTAATAACTTAGTTTGTTAGTAAATTGGAGGTGTGTACTTAAAAATAAACCCAAAATTTTGGTTGATACAGCCATAATGAGCTAGAACTATTGGCTCTAGAATTGAGGCATAGAATTTCTGAACTCAGCCAAATTCTTTTGAGTAACAGTTTCGGTACTAGTTGTCTTATAAAATAATTTATTTTAAAAGCAGTTTAATAAACTGTGATTTATGATGCGATTTGAAAGAAATTCTTTTACCTCAACATAATCTGGTACCGAAACTGTTAGCTAAAAAATCTGTTGCGCGCAACACACAACTTTCACTTACAGCTCTACTTTGAATAGAAATTATTTTCTTGTAATGTTGAGCTAATTTTTTCAATGCATTTTTAACTGAGCTAATGCTTAAAGCTTCCAGCTAATAAATCATTAAGACCATTAAAATTACCAAAATCCTATTTATATCAACAGTTAATTATGGATTGTACGATCCGTTGATTACGGATTGTACGACTATTAGTTATTAAACTGTTGATACATCTGTTCGATATTTTCAGCTGTTCTTTGCCCCACTGTATTGTTGTCAAATTATGAGACCACCCATAAAGTAATTTTAAAGCTGTTGAAAAGGTAATCTTCAACCCCTCTAACCATGTCCCTTTCCTTATAGATACGTTTTTCTTACAAGTGTTACGAAAGCATCTCCATTTCATCTTCCCTTCGAACTTCATTTCATGACCTTCATCACAATATTTCACCTTCCCAATTATCCTGGCGTCTTGAAAATATTTGATAGCCTCTTCTTCTGTAGACAGCAATTCCAACAATGTAACAATATCCATTTCAGAATAGTGTTAGTTTCAGAAATTATTATTTATATTTTTTCGTCACTCTGTTATCTTCTACAGCTTTATTTATTAGATATTATTTTTTCTACAGTCCTCTGCTTTCCAATGATATATTATACCTTTATCTTCTGAATATTGCTATGGAATATGGCTTTTTGTTTTTGATCTAAACTGTTCACATACACACACACATAGACCATTTTGCAAGACTTGGTTATTTGGACTCAGGAGATCTCAAAACGTGTATTTCCGTTGAAAACTCAGATTCGAAAATTTTCCTGATCCCAATACTTTTCCTTACTATATATTTCATATATAGGTAAGTGAAAGTAAAAAGTGAAAATTGAAACTTATTGAATTCATTATCTTTCTATTAATAGAATTATAGTTAATTAAACAATATTGGTCATCTTGAATTCATGTTTCAACTTATGATTATTTTAAATTTTAATAAAAGTTGTGATAGTCTTAAATTTATTTGTTGCATATTGAATATAAATTTTGTACTTAAACTCCTTATTTCATCAAAATTTATGGAAAAACTATTGATAGTTTGTCTTCAGTTTTTTCTTTTACCGGAAATACCGTACATTTTTATCAATGGCAGTTGTTTATTGTCTATAAAGTGTATAATCTACAAATTGTTTTTGACATTAATGGATCACCTTGAGTGCAACCATTTATAAATGAATAAATCAGTGAATAAGCTGGTAACGAGGCATTGTTAAGCATATTCGGGACAGTAGTCTTAAATTTCGAGTAACTTTGTTAAAGTTATTTCTTTAATGTTTTATTGAAATAGAAATAAAATTACCCTTGGTAACTTAGTCTTGAAAAACTTCTTATCTTTCTTGTGATTTATATGTTTTTGAGCTCAGAAATGTAGAGTGTCAAAAGTAATATATTAAACAGAGTAGATCAAATAATGCATTATTTATTCAATGTTCCCTTGGCGATAATTTGAAATACATAAGAATCTATCCTAAAACAGAGCAAAATAGTTATATTGTGTTAAAGAATGTGTTACTTAATTACTTATTTTTAAAAAAAAGTTGAATGAGTATTGCATTGTAAACAGAATACTCGCTTGGTTAATCATCCTAAATTTAAACTAATATCTTATGCATTTTCAGGTTCATGAGGTGATGAGGCCGTTGTTGTCAACGCTAGGCGATTATCGTAATCTGAATTTGATTGGTTCTCGACGGCTCTCGTATCTCGTCCAATTATTTCCTACAAGCTTCAATGAAAAATTGTGTGAGCAACTCTTACAACATCTTCAAAATTTATTAGAAACAATGCATACTCAGCAAAAAGGTTTGTTATAATGTTCATGGTGGTTCTATACTAATTTAATGACCTTTTTTCTTAAAATCCATAGTTTTATAAATATTTTTATTTAATTTTTTTGAAGGAATTACCAAGAATGGCGATGCAGAAAAAATAGTTGTAACTATTATTAACATTTTCCATCAGATACCAGCTGCTGGTTCACGATTTATTGAGCCATTGAGTCAATTAGTTCTTCAAACTGAACGCAATCTGCAAATTGGCGCTAGTTCTCCATTTAGACATCCACTTCTTAAATTCCTTTTGTGTTATCCAACACCAACAATTAATTTCCTCCTTTCTCATATAAAGGTATACATATTTTAATAAGTTCTTAATTCACAACTGTACACTGTTAGTTTTTTAGATAAATCACTCTTTTGAATTAAAATATAATTAAATTATTTAATTACATAATTTCTATCAGATAGTATATGTATATCATAAACTACATGTTATGGTTATTCTGATAATTTTTTTTTTTTTTTTTGTGATTTGAACATTTATGAGAATGTACTTAATTTATCTGGAATACATGCTACAATATTACTCTTTCTTATGTTAATTTAGCCAATTTAATTTTTCTAAGTGGCAGAAAGGAAATTTCTCAAATTATTTTTTATTTTTAGGATGACTTATGGAGTAAATATTTAGAATATCTTATTAAACATGAGGAAGGAAAGCTTTTCCGGGAGGTTTTGCAGAGTGCCAGCGGTGTTGATAAACTAATTGCTATGGCATTGGCCACATTTAACCTCAATGAAAATTTAACTCAAGGTGGGTCATTAGTCTCACCATCTCATGATATTATTAGTAAATTTCGAATTAGGATTACTGTATGAATTTTCAAAGTTAATCAAATAAATTATTTTGTAAAATTTATATAAAAAGTGTAGTAAATTTGATTTTCTCTTGTATTTTATCTATTTTCTATCTACTTTATTTTATTTTTTTTTTAACTTAGCCTAACATAAATAAGTAATATTAGTTTATAAACATAAATTGGAGATTATTATTAGTTAAAATTAAGATTTTGCATCTCTGTAAAAGAAAAAGAAATACTCTGAATTGTATTGTAAATGAATTGTATTCATGTTATCAGCGCTTTCCATGGCCAATAGTACGACTTACTACGACTTACTTTCAATTATTCACTAAATAAATAAATAAACAAATACATAAATTAAAACTCTCGGGCTAGCCATGCACGTGGTGGTGAATGATTCCAAGGGAGTCGAGGACTATATTTTCAGCCAACCTCGCTACGTCCTTAATGTCGACACCTAGTTCCTCGAGGAAGCTCCTTGTTCTTTTTGGGATAGTTCCGCGAGACACAAACCAGAGGCCTCTCACGGTGAACTCTCTCTCTCCGAAGGTCTCACGGAATTTCTCTTTTAGGAAAGGGATACATTTATTGTACGTGTTCTTCTTTTCCATTTCCACTTCACCCGCCTGATCGAGGTCATTGCTCTCAAAGCGGACAGTTGGATCCAAGATCAGCGCTGTCCTTCCTGTCTTGGGAAATGCGACGATATCAGCGTATCTCGTAGAGCCTTCACTATCGATGCAATATACCTCGTCAAAGCAGGTGAATTTTTTTTCCCTAAGGAGCCTCATCAACTCGAACTTGACCCAGTGGTGACGACGTGTTATGAGGAGGGAGTTGTTGGGGCATTTTCCCAGCACATGTGCTGGTGTTTCAGACTCTCTGCCGCATTTACGGCAGAGGGACCCAACTTCTCTGACCTGTCCGCTGACTCCTGGGACTCCACGCAGGGGTGCATAATTAATGTTTAGTTTTAGGGCATTCGACCATTCAGACCCAGAAAGTACTTGGTTTTCGTAGATGTATCTATTCGCTTTCGGGGTCTCTTTAAAATGGCGAACACCAATACCCTGCCACCTGCAGTTGGCCCTTTCCTCAAATGCATTTTCTCGTAGCGACTGCCGTAGAGCTTTCACATTTCGATGACCCTGATCAACCCCCAATCTCTCTGCACATTCAGCAATTTCAGCCGAATAATCGAAGGTAGACTGAAAAAGGGCATCTGGTACATTGGACAGTCGCTGAGCAATGGACCAATGTTGAAGAGGAGCCTCCCATTGGCAGCGGATTAATCCCAATCCTCGGTATCTCCTGGGGGCATATAACATCGCTGTGGAAGTATTTGCAGGGAGTCCAATAATGGCCTTTACGCTCCTGCGAATCATAGTGTCGATGCCCTCCAGTATAGCAGGACGTAGCTTTGTTAGGGGCGCAGTTTGGAGAGGGTAAGTAAGACCCGGGAACAGATATTGATTGACAATGTTGAGTTTCTGCTCAGGTTTAAGTAAGCAAGAGGTTACCAGCTTGTTTAGATTATCATTCAATTTAGTCACCGAATCTTCGTTGAATTGCAGCTCTCCCGAGAATGTACATCCTAAATACTTTATCGTATCTCCATTCTTCAATGTTTGGATGTACTCACCATTCTCAAGGGAGAGCACCGTCGTTTCCAGCTCTCCTTTATTTATAACAATGCCCATACTTTTTTGAGGATTTATAGCCAGACCAATTTCTTTAAATGTTCTTTGTATGCTGTCAATCACTCTTTCGGCAGCCCCCTTGTCACGCGCCGACACTGCCTAATCATCCGCGAAATCTGTGAGGACCACACAATCCTGCTCATTCCTTAATTTGTATCCAAATTTCTTGGAAAAGTCCTCGTCACACAGGTCGCGGTAGAGATGATCGATGGCCAGGTTGAAGAGTGAAGACGACAGGGGGCCGCCTTGGGGTACACCGCGCAGCACTTTGATCTGGCTAGTTGCATGGACACCGTTGCCAATCTTTATGGTGTTCGTGCTAAGGAGAGCTGATATGACATTTGTAAGATTCGGTGACACACCTCTCGCTTCTAAGGAGCTTACGATGTGTTTGTGCCCAACATTGTCAAAAGCACCGACAACGTCGAGGAAAACTATCGCACAGTCATTTTTCATTTTTTGTGCATCTTTTAATACCGCGTCGATGATCCTCGCGTTGACGTGCGTTCCCGGGAGGCCTTTTATAAAGCCTCTCTGACTCTTGTGGAAGGTGACCTGCTTTCTTAATTCGTAGTCCAGAACCTTCTCTATGATTCGGCGCACAATCGAGTATATGGTGATCGGTCTCCAGGTAGAGATATTGTTTATATCACCTTTGCCCTTATATATCAATATTGTGCGCCCTTGTCGAAGTGGTTCCGGAACATAGGCCACCTTCAGCATTATCTCTGCAATCGTTTTAATAATGCTTGATACATCAAAATATTTTATTGTGCGGATTAGAACTCCATCAGGCCCCGGCGATGTGTCCATTGATGTTGATTTAATGGCTTTCCTGATAGCTTCTATCTCAATGGACAGCAAATCCGGCATCGGGGCACCCTGTTCGTAATCCGCACGCCCACAGAGATTTTCGCTCTCAAAGAGGTCTTTATAATGCCTCTCGATTTCGGCCATTTTTAGAGGACACCGTTTAGGAGCGTCGGCATTCATTACAGTTTGCACAACCTTTTTTCTTTTATTATAATAATTATATTGGGCAACCTCGTACTGATACTGCTCTTGCCGACGACTCCTGTCTACTTTGTTTGCCCTCTGCGGATTTGAGACTTGTCTAGCACCCTTGTCAGCCATTTTCATTTTATTTTTTTTTCTCATCCTATAAAATTTTACGGCTGGGTGCTGGGGACCTGGTAGTTCCGCATTGATGACTTTGAGGAACTTTAGGAACTTGCCTACGGCCTCATCAAAATCCGCAGTGTTTACCATATCTTGCTTTAAAAGGTTCTTGAACGTAGTAGACCATTCAACAATGTCCTCTTTTATTTTTGATGACTCACCCTCTCCATTTCTAGGACCTATCACGTTCTTTACTATGCCCCTCAATGTATTATTATTCGCCTCCCTGGGATGTTTTTTTGCAATGTGGGTTCCGAGACCTCGTTCGCCCTTAAAAGAAAGCCCGCATATCAGACAAACTTTATCATCAGGGTGTAGAGCTTCATTTTGCCGCTCACTAAGTACCTCTGCGACATTCAGCGGATCATTTGGCAATCTGGGAAAGACATCATCTATCGACACCGTCTTTCCCAATACCACACCTTCTGTGTCAGCCCATTCTACTTTAATAAATTTATTTTCTCCGCCTCCTGCAGTAGCCACAGACATCACAGAGGCAACAACCGCCTCTTGAACAGGTCCTCCAGTTCTCAGAACCCATACCTTTTGTCCAACTTCGATCTTCTTCGTTGGTATTTTGTTCATTGCAATATTTTTTTTTTCGTTCTAGACTATGCCCACCACGCGCATGATTGAAACAATCTGTGCATAATTAAATAAATAAATAAATACAAAGTTAAAAACTATAAAATTAAGTGTTAAATAGTGTTATAGTTAAAATATAAAATCAATAAAAGCTTAAAAAAATATACATCTATCAAATAAATTGCTTATAAATAAGTTACAATATAAAATCAGTAAAAAGTTTAAAGTTAAAATTTAAGTACAAGTTAAAAATAAGTGAAAGTTAAAATCTAAAAAAGTTAAAATCTAAGAAAGTTAAAAAGTTAAAATCTAAAAAAAAGTTAAAAAGTCAAAGTCTAAAAAGGTTAAAATCTAAAAAAGTTAAAATCTATAAAATAATTTCCTAAAATGAGTTAAAATGTAAAATCAATTAACTGTTAAAAAGTTAGAATCTAAAAGAATAAATAAATAAAACAATAAAAATAGTAATTGCCTAAATCAGTTAAAAATCAAAAGATAAAAATTTAAGTAGTTATAATCTAAAAAAAAACAATATACATCCACCTATCCACATCACATTATCAAACCTAATATATAAAATAAATTACAAAATATAGGATCATTAAATACTTTTAAAAAAAGAAAAAATTCAGTTCAGCAATAGTAAATTTAAAAAAAAAAAAAAAAAAAAAAAGTCCACTTTAAAAATTTGATTTAAAACGTTCTATAAATAATAAATTATGATAGTAAAAACTTATTTTTTTCTTTTTATATTTTATGAGAGAAAGGGATCGAATATAAAAATTACGTAAGTGTCAAATTAGTTGGGCTACGTCGATGATTGTATTGATGAGACGACACTGACCTTGCTGAGCGGTGGAGGGGGCCGACAGGTTCCAGGCTGCAGAGTGATAAGGCTCCGGTCCCACAAGTATATCACTTTCGTTGCCTTCTGATTCTGGCCAATATCCTAGCTCAATTTTCATAAGATCTCATATGCAGGTCTTTAACATACAGCTCCGTCTAGGTGCGAAATTGCTGCTCAATTGGATGAAAAATACCCAATAATAGACGATGATGACGTGGAGCCGATCTTTCTTTCTCACCGGCTCGAGCCGAACTAATAAAATAATCGCAATAATTATAGTTTAAAAAAAAAAGAATAAAAGTGGTACTAGTTCCAATTCACTACCTAAGATGTCAGCTAGTTTCAAGATCTCATCCAGCACTCTACAGATTAAATCTCAAAACAACTTGAATGTGTCCAATACTATCAATACTAGACATAAATAACAGATCCATAAACTTTATTATAGATTATAGAACGTTTATTGTTGGTTAGTCATCCTCATCATATTCAATCCTTTTATTTAAAAAATCATTTGTATATAAAAATAATAGTGTGAACCGTCTTATCGAAATATTGGCAGCTGTTTTTCACTTCTTCCTAGAAAATAAATTTCGTAATAACATAATTTTTCTATTTCTGTCCTACAATAATTATCATCTTCTGTATTCTTTCACGTTATTAAGCACAATATCTACAATATTAATTTTGTTGCTAGGAAATAAATACTAGTGAGCTAATTTTAAATTTTATTTTAATAATTAATTGATCAAAAAAATTCTTTAGTTTTTTTAAAATTTTTCAAATGAAAAATTTGTTTTTGCTTCTTTTTGAAGGTTTGTAGTATCAAAGTGGAAAATTCCATGGTTGGTATTTTTTTTCACATCATCAATTCTAATAATATTTTTAAAAAATAGTCGAATGTCTTGAAAAAATGTAATCTGTTGCTAATTGGTTTGTTCGGTTCAGAATTACATCAATTTTTAAGACCTTTAGTAAGGTATTACATATTTCTTCAATTTCAAATTTACTCTCTTTTTGTACTTAATGATTATTTTAGTGCTAAAAATTGTGTCAAATCTTATTTCTTTTTCTTTAATAATATAATTATATTGCTGAAGGAATCTAGTCGACTGTTCCACTTATCATTTGTGATAAATATTCAGAACGCAGTCATTATAAAGTTTTTATTGGTACTGTCGTTTCAACCGAAACATGTGGGTCATCATCAGGGCATGTTTCGAGCACTGAACTGAGTATTCAAGTACGCGCATTGTGTAATGGAATACCTTCTGTGCTCGAAACACGCCCTGATGATGATCCACATGTTTGGTTTGAAATGTCAGCACCAAAAAAAATTTATAATGACTATGTTCTGAATATTTAGCACCCATAATTATTTTACAGTCTAATTTTTTTGTGGAATAGAATCAAAATAATGGAGTAAATTGATAAAAGTTGCTCAATGTTTATTTTTCTCTTGTTTATTTATTTATTCATCTATTTTATTGTTATCCATGAATTGTTTGTTAGCTTTGCTTCATGAGATTTAAAAATTTTCTGCTGTTACAGAAGAACGATATGAATTACAGTACCAGAGTATAAGGATTGTTTCATTGTTGGTCAAATTTGATGATCAATGGCTCTCTTCAATAAATCAGTTAGCTTCGACCTACATTCATATTTGGTGTAGTGACCAATATTTGGTATTTATTTTATATAATTAATTGTAGAATTAATTTCTTATAATAATTTAATTATGATTTATGATACTCTTTTTTGTAGACTCGCCACAAAAATATAGAAAATGTTTCTCACATTCATTGGAAAGAATCTAAACTAATAGTCAAAATATTGCTTAATTACTTCAGTCATCACCCTACAAACATAGACCTTCTTTTTCAAATTTTGAGATGCTTTACGGAAAGATTGCTGCCTGACTTCCAGGTTAGTTATTAATTGACTTTTATTGTAATAATGGTGTTAATGACTAATAGTAACAATGTTAAAATCTTTTTCAAGTTTGTACGAGATTTCTTGGATACAACTGTTGCTCAGGGCTACACTGTGGAATGGAAAAGAGCAGCATTTTTCAGATTTGTTGAATTGTTTCCTGTTTCAATTCAACCGAATTCAACAATGTTGTCTCAAGAATTAAAAGCTAAAGTCCTCCAATTTATTATAATCCCTTGTTTTGCAGTTTGTTTTGAAAGGGGAGAAACAAATAAGCTTATAGGAGGACCGCCAGCACCAAATATGGATTCACCTGAAAATATTGTATCTGTATTTATAAATAAAGTAATTATTGTTACTATTATTTTAAAATCTAATATAAAACAAACACAACTTTATTTTAATCTATTTATTAATGTTTATTCTAGTTAATAGATCCAGACAATCCATTTGGCCAAGGAGACTCGGTCAGAATTCTTCTACTTCAATTGTCCTGTTTACTTGTTGACCAGGCACTAGCTCATATCCATGACACTGCCAATCAAGGTTCGAAACTAAGACGATTGATGACATTTGCCTGGCCTTGTCTCCTTACCACTAACTGTGTTGATCCAGCCACAAAATATCACGGCCATCTCCTTTTTGCTCATATTATTGCTAAATTGGCCATTCATTCTCCGCCATACAAAAGAATAGTATTGCAAGGTATTGTTAATTATGTACATTGTATTATTTATTTCTCAATTATATGTTATTCAATTAACATTAGGTTAAATACCTCTTTTATGTTTTTTTTTACCTAGAAGTCCAACAGAAATCATTTACTTCTCACAAAAAAAACATGAAGTTCGTAGGGCTATATTTAATAATGTCTTCATTGCTTATTACTACAAGCTGTAGAAGGAAAATTTCATTTTCAAACAGAATGTGCTCAGCCTAAAAAGAAATTTTTCATTTTGAATAAAAAAGAAAAGGAGTTGGTTTATTAATATCTGCTCTTAGGGTGTGGTGGCCAAGCAGGCTAATGCTTTGCCTGGCTACCTGAAAACAGATACCATGATAAAATAACTATGAGTTTGCGTCCTGGTGTCGAGAGAAGGGGAGGGAATCTTTTTAACTGTGACATTAATCCCCAAGTTCACCCTTGGCCGGGAAAAAAACCCTGTATAGCTTAAAATGTGAGGAAGGGTTCGATCAGAAGAACAGAGATCATTATTTCCTTCCCGTATTTAATAGATTGTCAAAGTGATTCTTAACCTAATTTAATATGTCTACCGAATTGGTCAGAATATTGTAATTTTCATCCCTAATTCCAGATATGACGGGTCCTAAACATTTATGTAATCTGTTTATACCTTTGTATATGTCTCTTACATTATTTTCGATTCTATTAGTTTTTATTTCTGTTATTTTATTTTTATGATACTCTCTTTTTTTATTTTTGAGCAATTCAGTTGTTTCATTCTTTAAGGTTAGGAAGTATTCAAGATTATCTTCACTAGGATTATTTAAAGCTTTTAATTTAGCAACTTTTCTTTTATCGCACATGTTTATATCGACTGCTTTAATATTATCCCTGATCCTCACCCATAATTTTTCTATATAATCGCTTTTCTAGTCAGAAGATTCTAAAGCTTCAAACCTATTTATCACATCGAGCTCAAATTGAGTTCTATCTAATTGATGGATTTTTTAATTTTTCCAAATTAAAATTCTTGATATTTAAACGGTTTTCTTTTCTTTTTTTTATATCAAGTTTTGTCGAAGTTTCACTATTGCTAATTCAAAATCCGACCCACATGCTGCTTTGCGATGAGACCATACATTAATTATACTGATTTGCCAGTTATGTTGTATCAAGACATGATCGATTTAGTTTCGTGTTCGCGAATCCGGTGATGTCCTCATATATTTATGAATATCCTTATGTTTAAAAGTAGTACTTTTAATTAACTTTTTGAGATGGCCAAGTTTATCACTTTGTGTCACTTACAATTATTTTCATGTAATTTTGCATTAGTTTATCATAAACCCATTAGAGTTTATCATATAATTTGCATTTGACTTCATCATCACTTTCTTCAGTCGGAAAATGTATGTTTATTATCGCGATTTTAAACCAACATCCGTGAAATACGTGATGTGTACCGAAATTCTATCAGTAAAGAATTGCACGTCCCTCAAAGTGAATAGCAATCTATTCCTAATTAGAAACCCAGCACCGAAATAAGGATTCCCACTTCCTCCTTACCAGATAGTGTACTTTCCTCCTGTACTTCAACCGTCCTGCTGAATTCAAATTCCTTACGTTCCACATACCAATATCTAAATCCCTATTTTTCAACTTGTATCGTGAGTTTCCTAAAACTGTCTCCACCCAGAGACCCAAACGAGGGACTAGTTCACCTCCGGATAATGAGTGTTTTACCTTAGGGAGAGCCATGACTATTTGTGGTGTATGGTGAATTAAACATATGTGAATAGGGCTTTCAATCCTACATCACACCCTCCAGCAAGTCTGGAGGGCCCCTCACATTGTTGGTCAGCAATGATAAAAGTACAAATACAAATCATAAAACTTGTACAAAAAAAATTAATATATATATATATTATTGATGTGTACTGTATTTTGATTAAACATTTCTTTGTCACATTGCTGTTTTCTTTTCTAAATTAGCTCAAAAGGCAAGATCACTGCTACTTCTGACTGCTTTTATATTGCTTTTTATTTGAACAGGTGGCCACATGAAGAACGTTAGTTTATTTCTCTAGCAAGACCTGAAGTTTTAGGAAATTTTTCCTTAAAAGGTCAAATACATGTGATTACCCTTGTTATAATTGTGATAACAAAGTTGTTCACAAACTAATCATATTTTTTCTTTTAAAATTATATGGACAAGAGTTACTATGATCCATAATACAAAACCAAATTTCCTGTATTTATAACTAGATTAAGCTATTGTTAATTATCAAAATAAATTTAATTAAGGATTGAAATTATCAAAATATCACTCTTATTGGTTTCCTGGTGTTCGTTATGGAAAAACTTTTCAATCAAAATCTTTGCATCAGATCCATCCGTGTCTGTTTTTCAGAAGATCTTAATGCTACAAAATTATAGAAAATTTGATGAGATTTATAAATTTTCTCTCTATCGAGAGAATGAGAGGATTATAGAAATCTTTCTAATAAGAGAAGTTTTACTGTATTTTAATTTCCTTATTTGTATTCTTTTTTTTATTGTAGTATATTAAATATTCCTAGATGGTGATGAATTCTATTCCACTTTTTTAATAAGTTAATACGTTCCAGCATGCCATTTTATATCAGTTAATATCATTTGTAAATGTTTCAGTTTTTCGAACGCTACTTAAGGCTCATGCTGTCGAAGTTCGTCCTGTAGTTCGACAAGCCTTGGAAATTCTTACTCCAGCTATGCCTCTCCGAATGGATGATGGTTATACAATGTTGACTCATTGGACAAAAAAAGTCATTGTGGAAGAAGGACATTCTATGCAACAATTGTTCCATATTTTGCAATTGGTTGTGCGACATTACAATGTAAATAATGCCTTTAATATATATTAGATTGTAAAGACCACTTGAAATGATTAAAGCCCTTAGTAAAAAATATTTTTATAAGCAATACCTAATGGTTTTTATGTCTATTTAGGAAATGAAATAGAAATAGAGATTAATGATAAATATAAAGTATTTTTTATTTGCTAAGTGATGTCAAAATACCTGTGAATGGAAATTTTCATGTAACTTTTATTTTTTTTCTTATTCAATCAACTCATATTTTAGAAGTATTTGAACGTTATTTGTTTATTCTCTTTTCATCGCCATAGTAATTCTGTAGATTTCAAATATGTTTTTAAATTTCATGATGAAATGGTTTTTTTTAAAGTAAACTCTGTTAATTAATTTGTAGGATGTTAAAAAAAGTGTATATATGTATATATAATTATTTTTTTATCCCTCTAAGTACTTTTTGAATAAAAACAATATATTCATTAAATATATTTCATTTCCTATCAATATAAATCTATTTTACTGTATCTATAGATAGAAATTCATTTAACATTACTCCCTGTGAAAATCCTTGAACTATCAAATATTAACTATCTTGTATGAAGGGATTGAATTTTTTTGTGATTTCTTTTTCTCAGGTATTTTATCCTGTTAGACACCATCTTCTTCAGCATATGGTCAATGCATTGCAGAGATTAGGTTTTAGTGCTTCATCAACTTTAGAACATAAAAAGCTCGGTTGTGAGTTAGCTGAGGTTATTATAAGATGGGAACTTCAGCGTATTAAAGATGAATCACAGAGTTCTCAGGTAATTACTTTAAATAGTAAAGTATATATATATATATATATATATATATATAATATATATATATATATATATATATATATATATATATATATATATAAATTAATTCAACCATTTAATGCATAAATAATTTTTTAAATAACGTTTGAATTGTGAAGTATTGTGGAAGTTAATTTTGTATTTAATGGAAGTTCAGCAGCTATACTATATTTTTTAGTATAAATTATATTATCCATTTTATCATTAGGCACCATAAAATGAGATGAATATGTGATAAAAACTTGAGTATTTAGAGGGTTTTCACATTTAAATGCTTCTATCAGGCTGAAAAATAGCAGAAACAATGTTTATCTAGTTTTCCATTAAGCCAATAGGTTATTCAAGCTTCTTAGGTCCAATAGTTTGATCTCTATATCAAAACATTGCATTTTCAGCCATTATTAGTAAAATACTACTAATATTAAAGCTATTGGATGTTACATAACTTTAACTGATGAACAGAAATAATTGTATCAGTGATTAATTCTGGTTGGAAAAAATTCATTAACATGTCCACCCCCTATGTTTGAAATATCCACAAAAACAATTGTGTGTATAGGGATGTGTCCTTGATTGTTGACTTTGATTGTAGTTCTTATATGATTTCCGTCTCAGTGGTAATTTTGATCTGTTATTGTACTTTGTTATGGACGATATTTCTTAGAAAGATTGTTGACAAGGATTAAAAGATTTTGCGTTACCAACTTCGAAAATGACACACAATTATACATTGTTGATATGAAAATTTATATTACACTTTGACTTACAACTAAAGATACCAGCCCATTACTTCAAATTATTGACTGAGGCTACTGGTTTGGTTACCTATTTTACTTCCTGTGGAAGGCGCCCAGTTTTCGATATTTTTTAAATATATTTTTTTTAAAGACTTATTGATCTTTTTATCTTTAATTAGAAACTGAAATTATCTCAAGAAGTTTTGCAGGACTACAATGTCGAATACCTTACAAAAATTATGACCAAACATGAAATAAAGTAGACGGTAATGATTAACAAGGAATGACAATCGTACAAATGCTCCAAGAATGAAGAAATATCTATGAACAAGTGATGTATAGGCAACCCACAAGGTTCTCTGACCTGAACTCTAAATTATAGTCATCCTATTCATAGGTACAGTTTTTTACTTCCCGCTCACCTCTTTATGAGAGTTGAGAATTTCTAAATGAAACTTGCTAGGTCTTAGCTATGGTGAGCAAAATAGGCACTTACAAGGAATAGGTAGGGCACCGATGCATTATCAATAAAAAATTAATAATTAATGAAGATATTGTTGACCATAGATCAAATAATTGGACAAGTTGGTTAGGAATGCGGACAAAGGTGAAAGGTCGTTCTAAAAGGAAGGAAAGTCCGTGAAAGGACTTGGGCAAAAAATATTTTAATTATTTTAAAATACATGTGTTTTGTGTATTTTAAATACCATGCATTTAAAATACTTTCAGGAAAAGTATTTTAAATATGAAATACTTTCGTATTTTGTTTTTAAAATACAAATACAAAATACTTGTGTCTGAAGTAAACACCATCTGAATTTGAGTTTGTGTGTAGGGGAAGGCAGCTCACACAGCTTCTCCCCACTCAAGTTCCATTTCCTCAAGACCTCTCTCCAGCTCCACTTTCCTTCTTCACGTTAGCAACCATCTTATGCTGAGAAAGTTTATTCCATTTTCTTCAAATTTTCCTGAAATTTTGATTAAAGATAGGGATTTTAATTAAAAATAAAAATTAACAATGACTAGGATATTTAAATAATCAAATTAAGGGGAAAAAGTATCCCCACCCTCTGTTTTTATGAATTTATATACGTTCAAAATTACATTTTTTTGTCTGAGGGTAGATATAGTTTTCCCTCTATCCAGATTACTTGACATAATAAACGAAAATTGATAAAAGAAAAGAAAAAAAAAAGAAAAAAGAAATTTCTACTTGTAAACAAAAATTTAGAAGTATGTATGAATGATTGGAGAAAACAAAAGATTGGAGGATAGATGGGAAAATGTTTTGCTCTCTCTACCCACCCTCAAACTTATGTTAGATAGTCTACCTAGTTGCACTTTAAAACTACTTCCTGCAGAAAAAAATATTAATTTTTTTATAAGTTAAAGTTTATTTATTTATTTTTTTTAAAGGAGGCAACAATGAAGATTGGGCATAGTGGCTATAGTTATAAAACAATTAATTGAGAAAATATACTTTATTCAATCAATATTTCATTTAAAGAAGAATTCATTAAAGAAATTATAATTGACCAACAAACAAACAATTTAAGAAGATATTAATTCCAAACTATACGTTTTGGCAATTTTCTTTTAATAATACATGTTCCTCAAACAATTGATCACTCAACAATTTCATTTTGGGTGCATCCAACAAATTAGAGAACGAAAATGGTCATTCAACTGGCCACAATGTGGGCAGCGGAGTGTTATATTTCATACAAACAATTTTTATCACATGGTAGTCATCCAGGATTACTACATTTTAATGTTGATCTTGTGGAAATCTTAAGGTTTCAATTTAAACATAGCAAGAATGGTAGTTGTATATAGAGAAGTATTAGAATTATTTACCTCTTGTAGGTTTAGTCATTTGTGCAGGTTCAGTAAGTTTATCTATAAAAAATATATTTCATAATTTCTCTTCTCTCATCATATTAAGTGATTCGTAATTGGTTACCATAAAATATGAATTTTTTATAGTAATAATTTTTAATAATTTCTTAGGTCAATTGTAATTTCCATTAACAAAACTTTAATATAAATGTTTAGTATCACTTTAATAATTTTTTTTTTTAATCTCTTGAGCTTTTCACTGTAATTTTCATCTTCATTGTAAGAAAAAAATGAATATATTTCTTCGGATTAATTTGAGCATTTCTTACTTATTCTTTTGAGAGGAATTCTTTAAAATCACATAAATAAAAATAGATTTGTTTTTCTCAACAATATAATTATCGATAATATACTCTTTTTATCCTTCCAATGAAAAAATCCTATATCCTTTCTTAATATCAGTTTTATCGCCAAAAATAATTGCATTAAAAATTTAGCACCAATGGCCTTAAAAAAATTCAATTTAAATTTTCATGAGTGAGTTATAGTACGAACGATTAGCCTTACTACATAACTTAAAGGCGCCTCCTCAATTTGATAATGTATTCTATGTATATAAAATACATTTAATGTATTTTGTATTTCAAAAATAAAAAAAATTTCAATGTATTTTGTATTTTAAAATACTTTATTTGAAATACTGGGAGCGGCGTAGCTCAGTGGTAGGCCACTAAGCTTCCAATGCTGAAGGCCCCAGGTCCGAATCCCGTCTCATGGCAGAAAAATTATTTATTCTGTTTCATTGGCCGTGGGGCGACCCTGTGGTAGCGAGACCCTCCTGAGACACCCAGAGCTCTACAAAGTGGGTACCCTTAAATAATTAATTAAGAGGGAAAACCTGAGGGTTGAGCATGATTCTGTCCCGATCCCCTCCTAGCACAACACAACCGTTGGCCTTAAATAGTACTGAACCCAAGATCCTTCATGGGTTGTAGTGGTACAGGCTATTTTTTTCATTTGAAATACTGCCCAAGTCTGGTTCACCATAAGACCTCCAAAACTCTTGAAAAAGGGGAATGAGTAGAGAGTTTGAAACACTATTTATAAACATATTCTATTTCTGGCATGGTTTTCAAGTATTATAAATTATTTTTAATAGATTTTTTTACAAGAGAATATACTTATTAGATTTTAATACAAGAGATGTAAGTACCCTAAATAAACAATCATCAACCTTATTCATCCACTAGAGTTGTTTATTTTTTTAATTAAAAATTACTGGTATTTTTAGTTTTTATTATTACAACTTGGTAACATGAACTTCCCATTCAACTCACTGATTTCTATATTTAACTAGGACGCTACAGATATTGGTGTGAAGAGGCTCTCATTAGAGGATTCTGATCAAATGAGAAAGAAAGGTCCAGCCGTTGTTGCCACTGGAAAGAACGACCCTGATGCATTAAAACCATTGGATAAAAACCATGCTGATATTTTGATAAACTTTCTAATGCGCCTCGCTTGTTCTGTAAGTTTTAGAGTTCCAAAGATTTATTAGTTGGTTATTACTATTTATTACTAATTTTAATTTACTTTAATCAGGTAAATGAGGCTAATCCAGTTGCAGCTGGTATGGCAGCTCCAGGTGAAATTTTATCAAGGCGATGTTACAATCTTGTGAGAACAGCTTTGAAACCTGATGTTTGGCCACAATACACAATTGATTTTAAACTTCCTTGGCTAGAAAAATTATTCTGTTCTGTTGACAGTGCTGAACAAAACTTAGGCAATATAAGCATTGGTCTGGAACTGTTTACTTTAGCTCTATCTGTTATGAAAGAAGACCATGTTCTTGCAACTTGTAAAACACTTCAGAAAGGTCTAAATGCTTGTATTTCAAGCTCAAATAATAAGGTATGTTTTATTTCAATTTTTAATTTTGATAATAATTAATAATTTTTCTATTGTATTATAAATAATCTTTCCTGCTGTATTGAACTCAGCTTTAAGAGTTTTGGCTAAGGTATTAAAGATACTTATTATTTACACTGCAGACAATCAAAATTTATATTTAATTATGTTATAGTAGGCAGAGGTGCCCATCCCCCCTCCCCCCAAGGTCGATGGCGCATGAACCTCTCCTCCCCTTCTCTCAAGATATTTTATTGTTCTCAACTTCTTAAAAACAGTCCAAGCTAAAGTTGAATTTTAAAAATATTAAGTCATATGCAATGACACATCCAGTGGTCTCTGCTTTCCTCTTTTTCTCTGGTTTGAAAATTTCATTTAAAAAATTTATAACCTTCTCGAAATGTGCCTCCTCCAAAATTCAAAACCCCGTCAAAACGTGCCCTCCCTCCAAAAAATTTTGATGGCGCAACTTGTACCATGAAACCACCTTGTGCGCTCCTGGTAGTAGGTCAAACTGAGTTATGGCACTGTAGTGGGATTTGTATTCTAATAAGTCAGAAAATCACTATTCTAAATTTTTAATATTTACCATTACAACTTCATATCTGTGAAATCTAATTCAATACACAAATGTTTTTATAAATGTGAAATTATTTCATGAACAACATTGTAAGTTCAATAAATAAATTTAAAAAAAAAACTAGATGAAAGATATCTAAGTAAAACCTGATTATAGGCCAGTAAAATAAGGATTGCTTTATTTTACATAAAAAAAGATTATGATAGTTTTCAATATGGTTTCTCATTGAATATAAGGTTAAATTACAGCTTATAAAAAACAAAAGCTTTCAGATTTTTTTTTAAATTATTGATTTACAACTACTAAATGATCCTTCCTATAAAAAACATTTTTATATCAAGAATAAACGAACATTTAATGTGTTCACTACACATTAAGTCAAACACATTAGACTGTCTTTATTTGAATATATACTGAATATACATTTGGTGCAGGGATATAGTCAAAATTAACACTCATAGAACTGCAGTTTTTACCAAAGTTTCCAAGATATCCACTATAGCAGACTTATAATCTTGAAAATTGGCAAAATAGCCTTTATATCAAACAGTAAAATTACAAAAAGTACAATCGTTAATATTTAAATTCAGAAAAAATATCAAAATAGCGGACCCAAACTAAAAATGAATAAGACCTATCTTTTTGATCAATTTTTGTCATATCTCCATGAGATATACCTTAAATATTTTAAGGTATAGGTTTATTTTAATTATTTTCCATATTAAATGTATGCAAGTATGTATAATTGGATTTTGTGTTTAGGGAGTTAATAAGAACAGCTGTTTCTGTAGGACATACCTTTGGAAGTCACTAAATTGGAAATCTTTGCTGTCGATAAAAATTATAGTGTTTCGACTGTCGATTTTTTCCAATATCATGGACCAAAATTATAATGTTGGTTACCCATTTGAAGAAAAATTTAATTTTTATCAATTTTTATTCTTTATGTTTTTACACTTCAAACAACTGTTTTTCATGGTACAGATGTTAAGAGTCATGCATTCATAATTATGGTTAATATGGCAAAAATCCAACCATCGATTTTGACCTTAATTTTGGACCAAATTCATATTATTTTCTACTATTCTGAGAGAAAATTTAATATTATTTAATTCTGGAAATAATGAGGTTTTCTCAAGGAAGCATCATTTTGATGTTTTAACTGAAAAGATGGAAAAATCCTGAAAATTGTTCCTAGATTAAAAAAAATATAAATGTTCCTAGATATAGCTTAAAGTAAGTTATAACTGATGGGTGATACAATAAAAAGTCATAAGATGAAAATTGTAAATATTTTTGCCTTCAGTAGGTCTACTATGTTTGAAGCCTGCCAGTGTACATTTACTTTGGAAAATAATTTTAAAAATAGAGAAAAATCTTCAAAAACTGTTTTTGATTTAAGATATATAGATAATCAAACTCTAAAGTTTATCTGATACATATATAACAAACATTGATCATGGTGCAACATGTTTCTGGATAATTATTGCCGTTTAGTCATAATAGACCTTCAAAGATAGGTCTGACAGGATTTTATTTGGAATCCATTGTTTTGATTTTTTTGGGAAGAGAGTTTAACATTAACAATATATTTTTTTTTAATTTTCCTATTGCTATAAAAAAGTTTTAAGTTTGCTAATTTTGAAGTTTATAACTTCTCTATTGACTGGGCAGGAATTTCTACTGACGAGGGAGTGAGGAATACAATATGACTTAATTGATCTGAATGAGTGTGTTGTATATAGGGTTGCATAGTACTTGGATTTAGAATATTAAGAATCCTACCATTACTTTCCTAGTACCATTTAGGTGGTACAATATTAATATAAATTGAGAAATTTATTGTCATTATGGCTCTGTTCCTAATAAATATCTGCATGTCTCCACCTTTATTATTTCTATAAATAATGATTTACAGCTAATAGGAAATTATAAGGTGCTGAATGAACCTTTTTTTGGATTGAAATCCTAGCTTGTCACAATATATTTTTCTTGATACATAATTAATTGACTTCTTCAGGATTATACTGTTCATCTCACTGTTTATAAGTGCTGACCATGCTACCTGCTATCTTAATATTGAGTATCAGGTTCCTCTATTAGTGCTTGTTCCTTTAGCCCTTTATGGGTTCTTGTAGGATTGATTACTAAGTTGATCTTGCATAATGACGATTAATTATTTTTTGTATAACATTCTTAGAATGAAGGCGAGAAATGCTTGTTATTTTTCTGTGACAAAACTACTTAGTTCGCGCCTCTTGTCCCGGAACTTAAAAATTAGAATCTATAAAACAATTATCTTGCCTACAGTTCTTTATGGATGCGAAACTTGGCCGCTTACATTAAGGTAATGGGCAGCGTCTTAAGGTTTTTGAAAATAAAGTATTGCGTAGAATATTCGGACCAAAGAAGGATGAGTTAACCTGAGAGTTCAGACGTTTACACAACGCCGAATTGCGTGAACTGTATCCGGGTAGTATAATTGAGGTAATTTCATCGCGGCAAATCAAATGGGCTTGTAAAGTTATTAGACTTGGTAGCAAGAGAATTCCTAAAAGGTTAATATTTGCAGTGTCGAATGGTAAGCGTCCGAGGGGTAGACCGAAGTGAAGGTGGGAAGATTGCATTAAAGCGGATCTGAAGGGACTGGGTTTGGACGGCGAACGGTGGAGGGAGGTGTGTAATAAGCGATTGGTGGTGTCGGCATTGAACCTTCGGGTTCGCTAAGCCTTTTATTATTATTATAACTTTCTTATCTATTTGATATTAGTGGGAGGGGTGGCCGAATGGACTAACGTGTGTGCACTGCACCGCCGTTGCCCGGCAACCTGATAAATGAATCAAAGATATAAACATAGACACGCGTTTGTGTCCCAGTGCCAGGGGAATATTTTAAATCCCCGCTCACACCCCCTGGCTCAGGAAAATCCCGTATAGCCTAAACGGCGAGGAAGGGAAGGACAAAAAAAAGAAAAAAAAAATCTATTTGATATTATTTGAAAGGTTTGCTTCTTATATATTTTTTTATCTTAAATTTGTATTTATTATTATTTTTTTTCAGATTATTCGTTTGACTCATGCACTACTTACTAGACTAATGAGTATTTTCCCTACTGAACCATCAACTTCCTCAGTATCCTCGAAATATGAAGAATTAGAATGTATCTATTCTTCTGTTGGAAGGGTAATTATTCTCTTTTAAATAAATATGTTTTCTCTTTTTCATTTCAGTGATTTTATTATTTATTTAATATGTTTAAATCGGTTGAACAATTTTTAAAATCTTATAGGTAATCTTTGAAGGATTGGGAAATTATGAAACCAACACAAACAGTAACTCTAGCTGCTTATTCGGAACGATTATGATGCTTAAGGCTGCGTGTAGTAGTAACCCGAGTTACGTAGATAGGCTTATTGCCCCATTTGTGAGGGTTATTCATCGAATGAGTCGAGAACATTTGACTGCTACTGCAGCAGATGCCTCACCTGGTTTGTAATATTCTTGAGTTTACTGGGTAATTCATTTGTTCAAGATTTTAAATTAATTAATGTTGAACACATAATTTTAGGTACAAGTGATCTACTTATTCTGAGCTTGGATCTTGTAAAAAATAGAATTTCTTCTATGAACGGGGATACTAAAAAAACATTTATTGGTTCAATATTAGTCGGATTAATTGAAAAGTCTCCAGATATCAAAGTTATGAAAGCAATCTGTAAAGTAAGTCAGCATAACTAGTTTCATTTAATATAAAATATTTATTTTTACTTTTTTATGATGTTCATTGAAAGAATTGTCTTTTCTACTTTTATTTTATATGTTATAAATTACTATTTAAATTAACTTAAAGACAAAGAGTATTGACCACTCATAATAATCTCTTAATTATTCTTAAAAAACAAATCTAATAAATGTCCATTGCCTTGTGAATAAGTATTACATAAGCATGTCTTTTTATTTACATTACTAATAAAGGAATTGGCATTTCCTATGCAAGTATTTTTTTCCAGGAAAAACTGAAGCTTTCTGTATAAAAAAAGTTAACATATATGCAATTAATGGATGTTTAAGGTATAAAGTTCAACTTTAATAATAAAATTGTTTTTCATTTTTTTTTATTTTAAGCCACTTTATACCAATTTTTAATTTGGTCATCTTAATGACTTCAACACCCTATTACGATGTTTTGGCTCGTCGAGCCATTTTCAAGTCCATTTCACTTCTTATATGAATTACATGTGTCTACTCATAATAAAATTTATCACTCTTGTCATGTCCAGCTTTAACTTATCATGTGTCACCCACATGTTGTCAGTCTCGTTTCTAAAATACAGAAAACCTAATATTTATTTAATTATTAATTACATGACAAGAGTGATAGATTGTATTATGAGCAGACACATGTAATTCGCATAAGAAGTGAAATGGACAGGTAAATGATGGACTTGAAAATGGCTCGACGAGCCGAAACGTCGTAATAAGATGTTGTAGTCATTAAGTTGACAAATTAAAAATTGTTATGACTAAAAAAATAAATAAATTGGAAAATAAATATTATGCACCGAAGTAGAAGAGGGAAATATTGAGAATAATAAAATTGATTTTTTCTTCCTAATTACATGCACTATTGTTTGTTTTAGATGGTAGAAGAATGGATAAAAAATACTAAATCTCTGACTGGTCCTAGTTTAAGAGAAAAATCTATTCTTCTTGTTAAACTAATGCAATATGTAGAGAAAAGATTCCCCGATTTAAATACTCAATTTTTGGAACTTGTTAACTTCATATATAGGTAGGTTTGTTAATTTATATGTATTTTTATCTTGTTTTCATTTTAATTAATAATTGTTTATTACTGAATATTTGGTGGCGATAGGGAAGAAGCTTTCAAAGCTACAGAACTTATTCCGAAGTTGGAACCTGCATTCTTAGCTGGATTACGTTGTACCAATCCCCAAATAAGAGCTAAATTTTTTAAAATATTTGACAGCTCGATGAGGCGAAGGCTTCATGATAGGTTAATGTATATGGTTAGCTCTCAGAACTGGGAGGCTATGGGACAGAATTATTGGATAAAGCAATGCTTAGAACTAGTATTAGTAACTGCTGAAGAAAGTAAGTAAATTTTAACTTTATATTACTTGATCAATTATGCTATGCAACATGACTGTTTATGTTTCTGTAATTTTACATATTCCTAAAGTATTTTTTGTGCTTATTTCAGATCTATAATATAATTAGTTTTTTCGCTTAAAGTTGTTTTTTCAAGTGTACTCAGTTTTTATTTGATTGTAAATTCCACAAAGTTAACTTTTATTAAATGCGTTCATGGGATTTAATAACAAAAAAAAAAAGAATATAAAAAAATAATTAATAATAAATAAATAAGTACAGTCCCTACTAGATTGCTTAGACGACTAAGGCGCGGGTTTGATTCCCGTATGGGAACGGTAACCTTCCCACCCTGAGATTCACAGGAAGGTGAGAGCGACCCCTGTGCCATTTTATAATATATTATTTTATTAATGGAGACTAAAAAGGCCTAATTATTACTATCTATACTTATATAAGTCTCTTTCCCATTATCATATTTAGCAAAGGCAGTCATTAACATTGGGTGGATCCATAAGTTTGTTCGGTTTTTGAAGGCTGAAATAAAACATGTTTTTTTCATAAAAAGAATAAATTTTATTCTATAATGTATTTACTGTTTTTATTAATGACCTCTTGCCAGCTTTCTGACAATTTCATTATTCTGCTCTCGTAAAACATCTGGAGCTTTAGAAGTGAAGAACTGATTGTAATACGTTTTCACATCTCTCTCATCAGTAAACGATTTCCTGTTGAGGGATTTTTGGAGGAACGTAATAAATGGTAGTCCTAGTAAATATGGTGGGTATAATAAAAAATTCCAGCCAAGTTGCTCTTACTTTTACTGTGTGATTATTGCAGAGTGTGGTCTGGCGTTGTCATGGTGGAATACAACGCCTTTGTGATTGACTAGTTTTGGGCATTTCTGTCGCAATGCTTGGTCCAATTTTGTTAGCTGGGTGCAGTAGATCTTCGAATCAATCCTTTATCCTTGTGGAAGCAACCGGTAAAATAACACGCCATGATAATCCCTCCAGATGGAGAGCAAAATCTTTTTCCCTTCTTTAGGATGGCATTAGGCAGTCGTCAGCAGTTGTCCACGATCTCCTGCACACTACATTGTAGTAGATGATTCACCCGTTACTATTTGATTGAGAATGGATCTGTTTCGTACCCCGGTTCGAAAAGAGTTGTAGATTGATACTCATTTGGCCAGGTTTGCCTCAGTCAGTTTGTGTAACCCCCAAACATCGAAATGAGACAAATAGCCAAGCTGTTTTAAATGCCTTTGAACGCTTCCAAAACATAATTTCAGATTCTCTGTTATTTCTCATACCTGTGGCAACCGCCGGTCTTGTTCGATTAGAGCATTGATATCAGTCAAATTAATCTAGGTGGGCCGACCACTGTGGAGTGCATCTTCGAGACTCGTATCTCCACAACGAAATTTGGCAAACCATTTTTGAGCAGTACGTTCTGTTAAAGTATTATCCCCACATATCTCACTTATCTTTTGGTAGACCTCCGAACCTTGCTTGCCTTTTTTTAAATAATAAAGGAAGAAATGCCGAACGTATGCACTTTATCGTTTGACATATTCACTACGCTGTAGTACAAACAAAACTAATGCCAAGGAAACCAAGCACAACAGTTTCGAAGAACAGACTTTAACCTTTTCCTATAAGTATCATCTTTGTTAGATAAGGCAAATGAAACTGGAGATATTTGAAAACAATTCGCACTACTTACAAAAACCGAATGAACTTATTGATCCATCCAATAGTTTCCGGAGAAATTTCAATTGTGCACACTTTGACATAAAACTTGGTTGTGAAGACAATTAGTTGGCACATTATAAGAAATGCCAATACATGTCTGAAGGCCTGAGACTGTATATAAAATATAAAAATAAGTTAATGATATGTGTTATGAGATAAAAGAAATAATTTTCTTTTTCTCAGTCAAATCACATTAATTCATTGAAACTGATAATCTCAAACATGTGCTTATTACTATAGACCTATATCTTTGTTAATAACGGTCCGATTTTGATAAACTTTTTTTTTGTTTGTAGGAAATTTAGTAAATTTTCAAATAATTATGGATCTGAGCAAGAAAAATGTTTACTTTTTAAGTTATTTATAAATAAATTATCTTTTCATTTTTTAACTTTTTTTCCTGAAATTTTGAGTGGATGTTACTATAATTCATCAATGCTCCATTAATACCCTTTCCTTTGATACCTCATTCATTTAAATCCATCTTCTGAGAGCCAGAAAAGGGATCATTACTACAAAAATCTACCGTATTATATATAAAGATAGATTATTGAATAAATATTGTTTTTTCTTCTAAAAAAAAATGCTTTTACTTTTTAGATTTCTATACACAACTGTCCCCTGATACACCATTGTTGGAGAGTGTTTCAAGTGTTATTGAAATGAGCAGTAAATCAGATAAAGAAAAGTTTAGCTTATTTCCGTATATTAAAAGTGAGCAAATGGATACAGAAGATTCTGTAAATGAGGTTATTAGATTTAATTTTTTTTGCAATATTAACTGTTCCTTCGTAGCATTTAAATTATTTAATTTATTCCTATTCTTTTTATCTAGAATCCTGAAAGTATTGAAGCTTTTGTTACTCAGCATTTCCATCTGGCTAAACTACAAAAGAAAAATCAAGTTTGTAGTTTCCTGAACTGTGTTGTTCAGTTATGTCATATTGATATTCCTTTAGCTGAAAGAGTCTGGATTGACTTATTTCCAAGAATCTGGTCAATACTTTCAGAAAGGCAGCGGACTGTAAGTTAAAACTATAATCCTCTTATTAAATTATGAGTTATAATACTTTATAAAAATAAAATAATGGTTTTTTTGTTTTTAGTCTCTTTCTGGCGAAATGCTACCTTTCTTGGTGAGTGGAATCCATGTTAATCAAAAGGATGTACATCCTAGTGCAGTTAGTACATTGTATGAGGGACTTTCATTATGTAATCCACCCGTTCAAGTTAGACCGTAAGTATTAATGGCTTTTATTTTACAAAAAAGAACTTATTTATTTGTAGTTTGGTGTTCTGTAAATAATATTACATATACTAAAATACTATCGATTACTTAATTTGAGTGAGAAGAACAAAATAAAAATGTATTTCAAGAAAATTATTGAATGTCACATTCAAAAATAGACATCCTGATGAACTCAATACTTGAAATTAATCAGTGAAGTTAAATTAAACAACTGGCACTACATTAAGATGTTTATTTGTTTAAAATAAATCATAATAATACATATATAAAGTTCAAAACTCGATTCATATCAAGGCACCGTAAGGTATATAAAATTTAAAATAAAATATGCATATGCAATCTGCTATAAATTTATGACATACAAAAATCTTTTCAAAACTCATTATAATACTTAAACATAAAGAAATAAAATTATCAGGAGCCTATTGTTTGCCCAAATATGCATTGTTAGCTTATATATACATTTAAAAAAACAAAGATTTTTACTTTTTTAAATTTAAATTACTTTTCTTATAAGTTCCTGATTTAAGACAATGATAAAATATTTAACATTGGTTGACTTTTCAGTCCTGTAATGTCTTATCTGGCTAGAAATCATAATTTATGGCATCGAGTAACACTTGGCTTGGAGAAATTAGTAGCAGATCAGGCAAACACGGCTTTGCAAAACAAAATTAAACGAGATCTTGACTGTTATGACTTTGAACCAGATGATACACGTCAACAGGTATGTTGGAATGGATAACTAATATTTCTTTAATCTTTAACAGTTTTTAGTTGATCTTTAACATAAAATTAATCAATTGAAATATTCATTAGCTGTTTTCTGTTACAATCAGCTGTTTAAAATTGTTAATTTATATACAACATAAGAAATAAGAATTGTTTAACTAACTGTTAAAATTTTATCAGTCTGCAGTTGAACAGTTGTGCGACATGTATTGCCAGCTGCAAGAAGAAGATATGTGGTGTGCATTGTGGCAAAAACATGCTCGATATAAAGAAACATGCATTGCATTAGCATATGAGCAGCAGGGGTTTTTTGAACAAGCATTAGGTGCTTGGGAATTAGCTATTGGAAAAGGGCGTCATGATTATACAAATACTCCTGCACCGGTTAGTATGATTCAGGAAGAAAAGCTTTGGGAAAACCAATGGATAAGGTAATTAGAAGTTATGTACAATAATGTAACTATTTTTTTAGTTACGTTGCTCTGTATTTTTTAATTCTTCAATGTGCCAGGTTAATTAATTTAGTCCATGATAAACCACAAGGTTAAGCAAGTGAACTGACGTTTGCACTAGGCCTGAAACTTAAAACTCATCCATGTCACTCACTCTGTTGCTGCAAATTAGTATAAAATATAAAATGTTGCCAATATTTATCATTTTATCATATTGTTTGAATGCAAAATAAATTTAAAAATATCTAATTATATGGACATTTTTGACATTGGATTAAATTGAGATGTTAGAGATTCATTAAAAAAAAATATGATAAAGTATTGTAATTTACTAGCGAATTCCCTATTAAATACCCGTGTATCTAATATTTTGTTTATTTGTGAATAAATGTTCATGTTTTCTCCAACTAGGCCAGGACAGAGAGATTATTTTAGGTGGTACCAATAAAACCTAATCTACCAAAGTGAGAAGTTTGAGATTCAGTCTGTGGGTCTGTCACAAAATTAATTTCCATCCGTCCAACCCCCATTCAAACTGGTTGAATTTTACAAGAACGATCTATAATATTAAAAGAAAATTGATTATTAAAGAAAAATACTATTTCTGAACTAAATCAAAGAAAAAAAAATCCTTCTAAGTAAAATCTTTATCCTTAAAGAACATCTGATTTTATCTGACATAATTAAAACTGACAATGTGAGACCCCCTTCTACTACTCTGGCCTAACTTATTTGAGATAGTTGGGAAGGAGAGAGGGAAAGCAATTTAATACCTTTTTACCTTTGGGTGATACATGATTTAGAGGGTTGGTTAAAATGAGTAAGAAATTTTACAGGTTGAAAATAATGGTAGTGAATTGAAAAGGAGGTGATAAGTGCATTTTTTCGGGGCCAAAATTGTGTAATTCATTATAATGCGTATAGTATTGTTTCCATTCTATTAACTTTTTTATTATAACTTTTTTATTAGGTGCTCAAAAGAACTTAATCAGTGGGATCATTTATTAGATTATGCCAAGACAAAAGGCCATATTAATCCGTACCTCATACTTGAGAGTGCTTGGAGAGTTCCAGATTGGAAGTTGATGAAAGAAGCCATTGCACATGTTGAGACATGCTGTCCTAAGGACACAAGTTGGAAGGTACTATAATTGAAAATTATATTTTTTAATATAAATGATAATTTGTTTTATAAATTACTGTCGAATCTTGACAATTTGAGCTTCAATAACTCAAATTACTGAGATTTGACTCCATATATTTGTATATCTATTGTATAATACTGATGTCATTAATCAAGTTTTTAAATTGATAGGTCCATTTATATCATGGATTTTTAACTATTTGTCATCCTGAAGAGCAGCATCTCCCAATCGTGGAAAGATACGTAGAACTAGCGAGTTCTCTTTGCATGAGAGAGTGGAAAAAGCTTCCACATATTGTTTCTCATATACATCTCCCTTATCTTCAAGCTGCTCAGCAGGTAAGATAAGTTTTGTCTAAAACAGATACACTGCCTCAAAAAAGTTTCTATACAGTTAGTTTTCCTTTAACATTGCTAATAATCTATTTATTATATTATTTTTATTAATCAGGAAGGATAGTAGGAAGGATGATAACATGTTCATGCTTGATCACTAATCCCATAGCAGGAAGAGATACAACTTTAATCTGAAGGTCAAAAAAGTTTTCATACATCTATAATATCTTAATTCTATTTCTACTCAATGCCATTATTTCACTCAAATTTATTATCTCAACACTACATTCAAGGTTTAGTTAAGGTTCAGCCTACTTCAAATCATCATTATGCATTTAGAGCAGTGCATTCATGATCAAATCATGTGGTTGAGAAGTCAAGGATTTTCTCTCCGAAAAATTGGAATTTTTTTAAATAAATCCTCATGCGACTGCGCAGTACGTGTTAAACAGACACAGTGAATTAAAATAATTGGAGGACTATTCTAAACCTGGTGCACTTAATTCCTGTACAAGTGCAATATTCTCAGCCAGTGGGCTTGAAAGAGATTACGAGGTATGCGTAAATCCAGAAACTGTCAGGAATGTTCTGAGAAAGAAAGGTTTTCATGGACGAATTGCATGAGAAAATCCAATGAAATAAGAAGCAAAGGTTGGTGTTTGCCATGGAGTAAGGCAATAAGCCAGAATGTTTTTGGTGGATTTAGTAATGTTCTCATATGTACCAGATGGCAGGTGTCATATCTGAAGAAAAGACAATGAAGCACTTATTTCAAAGAATTTGCGACCGACCTTCAAGCCTGGAGGTGGAAGTGTAATAGTATGGGGGATATATGAGAGCTTTAGGAATTGGCAATCTAGTTTTTATTGATTGAATTATGGACCGGCATGTATTCCTGAACATTCTAAGGAATAATTTAAAAAGTTCTTCTGAAAAACTTGGACTTATGCCAAGATTTATTTTTCAACAGGAGAATGGTCCTAAGCACACCACCAAGAAAGTAAAACAATGGTTAATCGACGACGTCCAAAAACAGTTGCACAATCTTCCCCAATCACCAGACATGAGCCCAATACATTTGTGGATTGAATTAGGACTATGCGTGAAAAACCATGGTGTTTGAATTAAAGATCTCAAAGCAGCTCTATTGGCAGAATGAGATTCAATTAGCATAATGATGATTTGAAGTGTACTGAAGGTTTACTAAACCTTGAATTTATTGTTCAGATAATAAATTTGAGCAAAATAGTGGCACTGAATAGAAATAGAATTAAGGTATTATAGATGTATGGAAACTTTTTTGACCTTCAAATTAAAGTTGTATCTCTTTCTGCTATATGATTAGTGATCCAGCATGAACTTGTTATCATATTGGTACACCTTTGCCTCTACTATTCTTTCTGATAATTAAAAATAATATAATAAATAGATTATTAGCAATGTTCAAGGAAAATTAACTGTATGGAAAATTTTTTGAGGCAGTGTATATAGTTAGTCCTCTTTATTGCTTGCTGATCTGATACCTATTAAATATCATTATTTTAAATATTGATACCTTACTTTTCTGTTTCAAGGTAATATATATATAATTGATAGAAGTGTTCATGATCTATAATGAACAAATATTCAATTATTACAATAATGCTTAACAACACCATCTATTGTTTGCTATTTGATTCTTATCAGAAACCCTATTAACCTAAATGTAAAAGACCTACCTTCATTCAGTTCTCCCTTTTATGCTTGAAGTTCTAGATAGAAAAAAAGTATTTAGGTAATTTTATTTATTTTGTTGTAGGTGATAAATAGTCTGAACACAGTGATTTTAAAAGTTTTTATTTATGCCGATGTTTCAATCCAAGCATGTGTATCATCATCAGAATGTGTTTTGAGCCACACCCTGATGACCAACATGCTTATGTTGAAACATCGGCACAAATAAAAACCATAAAAATGACTGCGTCCTGACTATTTATCACCTATGGTATATAGAACAGTCGACAAACTTCCTTCAATAATTTATTTATTTTGAGTTTTAATTCTTTACTGGCATCTATTAGTTATGTTTAATTTAATGACCTTTGTTTCATTATTTAACAAATATTGCTTAATTCTATATTCTGAGTCAAATCTTTCGCATTATTTACATAAATAAGCATTCCATTATTTGACTAATGATGCACCACAGCTGGTCATTATGGGGTGGCAATTTCAAGTTAGCTCTCAGCGTTTGGCCAAGTTGCTCCCTTTGTTGAATCTTTTCCACCGCTATTATTTGTAGCTATGTGCTAATGTGTGCTATAGAGTTTGGTAACAACCTCTTATTTCAAATTTTACTTTTAAATTTTTGTAAGTAGATGTGTATCTTAGATAATTCATCAACTTCTGCCAAAAGCTGAAGAAAATCTACAATATTAGTTTAAAAATTGACATAAACTCAAAATATTAAAATATATTAAACTGAGAATATTAAAATATATTAAACTGAGAATATTAAAATATATTAAGTATATATTAATTCAAGACATTTTTGGGCGTAGTAATCTCGCAATTTACCACCCTCAAACCTCTAACTTACCTATTACATGTTTTTTTTTCTAAGTAAATAGACTGATAAAACAGGTAATCAGTTTACATCAAACAGAAAAAGGCAAATTATATCCTGAGAAAAGTGAAGAAGAGATTCCCTAGTTGTCAAATACAACTGTCATTCATGTAAAATAAATGCTTTGTTTTGCTGATATTAGTGTAGGGAAACCTCAAAAGAATTTGATACCTGTCAATTAATTTTTATTCGACAATAAATCATCAGAAAAATAGTGAAACCACGTATGTCCCTAAATGTCTTAATTTAGGGTATTTTATTATTATTTATTGTTATTCACAACAGTTCAATTTTTTCTTCTTCCTCACTAACGAAGGTATTGTATTCCTGGAAGATGTTAAAAAAAAAAAAAAATTGTACTAAGAATCAAAAATTTTCACTGTTAATGTTTTATGTTTAAGACATCATTATTCGATTTTCAGGTGCAAAAGGTTGTATGTAAAAATTTTCAACTTTTATTCTATTTGTGCTAAAGGTGACATTTTGTAATCTGCCACTGATATAAGCAGTCTGCTACGATGGAAAATAGCCGAGGGCAGTAAAACATAAAATGGTACTAATAAATCATAAAGAAGTAATTAGTTTTTATACTTTCCCATCAAACAATCAATTTTTACATACGACCTTTTGCACTAACAGTAGTAATGTGCATGTTCAGTATATACATGAATCATCAAATATGCAATCTGCAAATGCGGAATCTTTAACCTTTTAGAATTCGCTGAAGAACAAAACTCGTGAATATCAAACAGTTATATATTGAGGGATTTCTGGATTTCCGAAAAAGGCTTCTCCCAGAGATTTTATTGTTAAAATATAGATTTTTTTTTTTTGTTTGTTGGCTCAGAGCCCATCGACGCCTGAAGGATCTATTGTGCGCTAATTAAGTTATTCTTTTGTTATCAAAACGTTATTTTTGCTGCTTTCACATATCTTAGTAGGCTGGTTGGATTGACCGTCTCATATCTACTGGGGAGATCCATTCGTTCCTCTCCAAATAGTTTCATTCTAAGCCTTGCAAATCTATCACATCGACAATAATGTGAAAGGCTGTTTCATTCTCCTCTTGACAGAATCTGCATAGCTGATTAATCGTTACTCGCAGATTGAGCATATGGTAATTTAACTTAAAGTGGACTGTGTAGATCGCTTGCTGTCTGACTGTCGGTATAGGTTGTAATCTTTTTCTCAGTCACATTGCTTGGTAGTAGGTTTTGAGCACAATGGCAAATTGCTAGTATCTCAGATTGAAACACTGAAGCATATCTGTAAGTACATTGTGTACATTAGTTTATGGTACTGACCTCTTTCTATTGAATTATTAACAATCTTCTACAACTACTTGGTGAATGGCTTCATTTTATCGTAACCTACAACTTTTTTATTTTTGAAAATTCTCAGAAGAGGAATTTTCAGTCTGGAAATCAGTGACCTTTGTCAATTTAATGAGATGCGAAAAACTCATGAACACCAATTTACTATCTGCTTGAATCATAAGATAATCTGCTCACGGAATTGAGAAAAAATGGTGACCTACCAAAATATTAGGCTATTTGGCCTATGTAACCTCATTATTTTGACATGCGGAGGGTGGAGATCACACCAAACGGCCCTTTATATTTACAACAGGAGCCCTGTAGGATACAATATTACCTCTTCTAGGGCAGAATAATTAATTGGGAATAATTTGAAAATTTTGTGACAAAATGGTAGCATTTTTTGCCATTTCAACGTTTTAAAGTTACTCACAAAACTTTAATTCCGCTTGTGGTTTTACATCTTATTTCTATTTTAAATATAAAATATGGAAAAGCTATTTGTGATGTATAAATCATTTATTTAAATATTATAAATGTGGGAAGAGGGGGACGAGAGGAGCAGGATGGTTGTTCTCTCCTCTGTCCCTGATACATCCTTGCATTTAAAGGCAATGGATTAAGCAGCCACCAAAATATCACCCAATCAAGGAGTTTTACTGGCTCAAGGCTCATATGTCCTTGATTATTTTCTAAAAAAGCTGAATTAGACGAATTATTTTTGCTTTTGTCTTATATAATTTTTTTTTTTTTTTTTTACTAACGTTTTTAACTGAACTGATTTTCAGGGTAATTTTTTGAGTGGAAGGTAGTAATTGCTATCTTGAAATAGGAGAATGATCCATACCATTTACATTTTCAGGAGTGCTAATTCTGAATTTACTGGCAATTGTTTATTTATTTCCCGTACCCATTTTGATTTACTTTTAATGTTTGAGGCTCCTTTGGATTAGTAATCTTGTATTAGATATAAAGAAAAAATGTTGGTTAATTAATGATTAATCCAAATGGTCACTCGCTGTCAAAATTTTGATAATTATTTCGAAATCCCAAGAACGATTACTAACTCTATGAAATTCACG